TTGTGAAGTTGAGTTGAAAAGGCCAAACTCATACCAGGTTTGCTCACAAGGTGCTGCTGTAGCCGTGAGGTCGTTTGTGTTGTGGAGAGTGGCTCCTTTCTGTTGGTTCGCATCAGTTGAGACATTGAGTTTTTGTGCATCACATGCATTTTCTGGGCTTCTCAGATGCACGAATTTGTCAGCAGACCACCCAGTTGAATGTGGCCTTTTTGTGCAGATTTGGCTTGGACGCTTCTTTACAGGTCGAGTGAGCTGGTTACTACCGGTTCACTTTCTGTTGTATGTCACAGAGCATTTGAGAAACGGTTCATTTCTACTCAGGATAAAGGACAGCAGTTCAAAGGAACATTGTCACTTTTCCAGCATCAAATGTTGGATGTCTTTTGAAGGACCCTATAGAGGTAAAAAATCTCTATTATCTGTTGTTGTTATTTATGTTTTGTTTTTTTTAGATAGGGTTTCTCTGTGTAGCACTAGCTGTCCTGGAAAACACTCTGAAAATCAGGCTGACCTCGAATTTACAGAGATCTGCCTGCCTCTGCTTCCTGAGTGCTGTGCTACCAACACCTGGATGCCTATAGAATTCTTTGCTAACTGCTGTTGTGGTTTAAAGTGTGATGCTATCGTGATTGCTTTTGGTTGGTTATATCAACTTAATGGCCAACCTCTGTGCTTCTCATCTTCAAAGCTGAAGGTGAAGGTTCTTGTTTACTTTGCAAAACCACATACAGTGTTTGATATTTTGTTTGTGTTCTGACAAATAAAGCTTTCCAGGAGGTCAGAGGGCGGAGCTAGCTACTAGTTAGCTATAGCAGTCTGAGGTCAGTACAGAGAGGATACAGGAACAGACCATGTGGAGCGGAGACAGGAAGGGATAAAGCGGGATGGAAACAGGGTCTCAGCCTTTTGGACTGGAGGAATGGAAGAGGAAGGAGGTCACTGGTGGCTGCTCCTCTTCTGATCTTTCAGGTTTTAACCTGATCTGACTCCTGGTTTTTGGTAAGATTAATTAGATTTACACTTCATCATCATTTTTTATTAGTATTTTTATTTTGTGTACGAGTGATTTGCCTGAATGAATGTATGGGTAGCATAAGAATCCCTGGTATCTTTACAAGTCAGCAGTGTGTCAGATTCCTTGGAACTGAAGTTGGAAATGTTTGAGTTGAGCATCTTGTGTGCTGGGAACTGAATCCAGGTCCTCTACAAGAGCAGTCAGTGAGTGCTCTTCCTGCTGCTGACCCAACCACACCTGCAAAGCTTCTCCACCCCTGCCGCCTACTGCGCTACATTCTTAGCAGTTTCTGCTCCAAGTGTGCTGTTGATGTTAGGAGTTGTCATCTTTGCTTTCCAGCCCATTTTGTTCTCAAGATGACCAGGTGAACTTCACTTTTGTCTAACCTCATTTCTGTGTCATAAAACAAATATAAAATAGCAAGTAATAAGTCATTAACAAAAAAGATAAGTGTTTGTTAAAATCCTGTGTAACATACTCACATTTGTTAAGGGTGTACTCCAGTACAATAGACATGTCCACATTGAAGAACCACTGTTACTGGTGTTCAGCCTAGTGTGAAAGCCTCTCAGATGTGTATTGACTTTGAGAGTGTTTGGTTTCTATATATCCTCAGTGTAGTAGCCGTGAGAGAAGTAGGAGCTGGTCTTCATTTCTTCAGCTCTTTAATCTAGCTAGCTTCTTAGGGACATGTGAAATTACACATCCGAGAAGAGAGGCAGGTGCCTGCACTCGCACCTCAGACAGTTGAGGCATGGGATCTCAAGTGGAGGTAACCTAAACTTGTATTCATAGCATAACCCTGTCTCAAAACCAAAACTTACATCATTGCATCGTCATGGTACTTACTAGTGATGGAGCTTGGTCGTAGATTGCTTCCCGTTCATGTATGAAGTCTGGGTTACTCTCCAGATCTATAAAACAACACCCATCCCGAGCAAGTAAACCAAATCTACAACCTCTGAAGCAGATTTACAATTTACACAAGTCTATTGCACGACTGCCAAGTTTATTGCTGACTATTGAGAATCATTTTCTGAAATATCTTTGACTTGTTTTACTGGAGTCTGTTTAGGTTCTGATTTGTCGTCATTGGTGTGTGTGTGTGTGTGTGTGTTTGAGAAGATCTCACTATAGCTTAGGCTGGCCTCCTGCCTTCCTCTGCTACCTAAGTGCTGGGATTAAAGGTGTGTGCTACCTGGCTGGGTGGTGGTTGTGCACGCCTTTAATCCCAGCACTCGGGAGGCAGAGGCAGAGGCAGGTTGATCTCAGTGCTTTTGAAGCCAACCTGGTCTACAGAGTGAGTTCCAGGACAGTTAAGAGCAGAAGTCTGTTAACTAATAGGTTTTTTGTACCCTCATAATAGGTTTGTCTGCTAATGCAGTAAGCCACATCAGACCGAATTGAAAAAGTAAAAGAACAGGTTTATTTGAGCAAAGCAACTCCCGGGTGAGTTCTCCAGCTCCAGAGATGGAGGCAAAAGGGGTCAGACTCCCAAACTAAATCAGGGAGCTTATATACCTGTAGGCAAGGAGTGATGACCTGTCCACAAGTATGGACAAAAGCTGGGATGTTTAGGTGGGGTCTTGGACTGCTGGGCTTTTTGATATCTTTGTTAAGAGACTTCTGAGTGGGTGGGGTTTGGAGAGAGGAATGGGGCTTTCTGGATCAAACCTGGAGGTTCTAGCTGATTAACTAATAGTTGAGGTCAGTGTAGATCTGTGATCACACTTGTCAGGGTTTCTCTGGAGGCGTGTGTCCCAGAGTTTGAAAACGTTGATGTCACAGTAGTGCCTGCCTGAGTGGGTTTATCCTGCCCAGTTCAGAGGGGCAGTGAGAGTGAAGTTGATTGGGGTGGTTTACACCTATAATCCGAGCACCCTGGAGGCCAAGGTGGAGGACTGATGCAAGTTCAAAGCCAGCCTGATTGGGCTAACAAGTTCCAGGCCTGCCAGGGAGGGATACAAAGGGAAGCTGTCTTAAAAATAAAAAAAGAAACCCTAGGCAGGCAGCATTTATTTTTATTCCAGATGCATTTTATCAGTGTGTAACTTTTATCAGTGTGTAACTTCATGAGTTAAAAACTCCAATTCTCTTTGTGCTTGTTCTTGTCCTTAATGAGGTGTAATTAACATTCTGTCTAATTTTCTTACTCCAAGTGTAAAATCTAAGTGTTGTCACCGTAATGAACAGTGAAGAGTTCTCCTGGTACCCTTCATGCATTTTCTGATGTTCTCTGACTGCAATCTTCTTAAGCACAATTGTTGTATTATATAATTTGAGTTTCTTTGTCCTTTGATACTTGAATGCATGTGTACACTGTCCTAGCTCCCTCGATTTCCCTCTCCAGTGCTTCCCCTTATTACTGTCATCACTTCTTTCCTTCTTTTTAATGCTTTGCTGAATCTAATTAATGCTGTCTACATGTGCAGACGTGTGGGGCCATCTTCTATCCTGGTTTTAAAAACAGTCAACTCTAATCCTGGCCTGGAACTTGACACACAGACCAAGTTGACCTTGAATTTAAGTTCTGCCTGCCTCTGCCTTCCAAGCAATGGAATTATAGTTCGGAGCTACTGTGATTGGCTTAATAATTTCTTTTTATTGCTACATATTATAATAGTATTGTATAGCATATTTACTTATTAACTTGTTGCTGGAAATTGATTTTTAAATAATTGAAGTCGTTAGCACTCATAGGGCCTGGAAAGATGACTCAATGTCTGAGAGTGCCTGATGATTTTGCAGAGGACTGGGGTTTGGTTCCCAGCATCCACATGCTGACTTCAGTTGTCCTTCCCTCCAGTTCTAGGGCAGTCTGACTCCACAGACAGACGTGCAGGCAAAGTGGTTATACACAGATACTTCAAAAACATGTATGTGCCTATTTATGAGTATGTGTACTGTTACTTAAAAGTGGAGTGGCAGAACTGTTTTCAAAAGCTCTAGTACCTATATACCTGTCAGATGTTGCTTCCTGTTCTTTTTATTTTTTATTTTTTTGTCTGTTCTTAGAGATGGGGTGTCATATAGCTCAAGGTGATCTTGAACTGAGTAGCAGAGACTAGCATTCTGCCTCTGCCTCCCAAGTGCTGGACTAGTTTCTCCACCTAGCCATGGCCAGTCTTCAAGTAGCCAGGCTAGTCTGCTTGATGCTAGCAGGAGCTCCTGGTGGTCTGAGTCTGTGTCACTGTTCTGCTCTCTGGTGTCTTTATGCCCGTTTGCCCCCGGGTTCACGTTCTTGGCTCAAATAGTTAGGTCAGAATTGGGTTCTGACAGGGGGAGTGCTGGGTAGTGTTTGAGTGTGTTGTTGGGTACTGCTGAGAACTCTGGCCTTTCTCATCTGTTCTAGATGCAAGTTTCTCATCAGATGTGTGCAGTATTTCTTTTGCTTTATGACTTCTTGACTCACTCAACAGTGCCTTTTGAGGGAAACACTTAAGAATAGCAGTTTTCTCTTTGATTTGTTCTGGTGTCCTTACAAATCTGACACCCCCCCCCCCCCCACACCACCACCACCAAAGGATTTCTTTTCTGTTTCTATAGCTGTAACAAAGTAACAGTTGTATTATATTATAACAAAGCTGTAACAAAGTAACAGTTGTATTATATGATGTCCTGTCTGCTGTTTTTCGTTTTGTTCTAAAATGGTCAGTGTTGAGATGCTGAGGAAGCCCATGTGCAATTCCCATGTGTAAGCACAACAGAAGTAGACATTTAGAGTTGATTGATTTTGAGAAATTGTGTGCGTCGTCGTTTCAGCACCAGTTATGGGGGAAATGTTTTCTGCACTGAGTAGCATTTGTACATTTATAGAGTGAGTCTACAGAGAGTTTCCTGTGTAAAGTGTCTAATTTTTCTTACTATGTTCTGTAGTTTTCACTGTGATCTTCACGTTTAACAGACTATCATGAATTAAAAAAAAATTTGCATATTGCGTATCCCTATATGCAGTGCTATTATTAAAACCTGCCTTTCCAACCAGGTCTTGTCCAATAAGCATGTGGCTCCTGATCACCTGTTACAGATCTGCCAGCGCATCGGCCCGATGCTGGATAAAGAAATCCCACCCAGTATTTCAAGAGTCACTTCTTTGCTTGGTGCGGGAAGGCAGTCTTTGCTACGTACAGCAAAAGGTACCTTAATTTGAAGAAGTGTTCTGCTTTGTATTAGTAGCTCTGTTATAATTGTGAAGTTGTGTAAGCGTTGTGGAAGGTAACAATGTATCTAACGCCATGGACTATAAATTTTCTGCAATTAGTGTAGATCTTTGAATTTTATCATGTGTTTAATGGGTCCTTCTGCATTTCAGAATTGATAAAGATATAGATGTTAAGCTAAAAGCTTGAATTTAAGATGTGTTTGAGGGTTTTTATCAATGTTAGTTCTTAATTTTTCCGTTTTGTAGCTCTCATAACTTCAATGGATGTAATTGTATGTGTCTAATAAACTCTTTAAATACTAGAATTATTACTTTTGATATTTAGATTCTGAAAGTCCTTTGTAATAAGGAGAAGTGATTTTAAAAAAAATGGTAGCAGCTTGAAAAACATGCACCAAAAATGTAAACTTGCATGATTCCTTTTATTTTTTACTAACAATTTTTTTCTTTTGCTAAGTTATGTGCTAGCAAAATGTTTGGAATTGCTACACTTTTTCTGTTAGCTTCGTATAATTGACTTAGACTAAGTACCTGTGTGTGATATGCTCTATGTATATATGTGGCTAAACTGCTAATGGCAAGTGTGTTGGTTCTGATCTCAGCAGACTTGAATTTCATTGTGATTATTTTGTTACAAGCTGATGTAATGCTACCTCTTAGATGCTCCACTAGGACAAAGCTTGACTGAGAAAGAGTACCCTGCTTCTTGGTTTCATGCCAGACCAGCTTGCCAGCCTTAGTTGTTTCTTAGGGCCCTATAATCGTGCCACTGTGGCTCTAATCAGAAAACTGTCCCATCCTCCTTTTCGGCATCCTGTTCACTTTGTAATTATTTTCATCACTAGTTGTTTTACAGCAGTTGCTTGGGTAGCACATTTTCTTTTTCCTTGTGTCAAGCTCAAGCTCAATGTTGTTTTGTGATGAGACTTGTGTGAGGACTGGCAGACTTAGACGAGACTTCAGTGAGGGACCCTTCTTCTGCTTGTGTTTTGTGCTAGTGCCAGAGGATGCCTTCTGTTAGTGTGGGTACCCAGGCTCAGTGGAGGTGGTTCAGTACGGTGCCGCTCCCGTGTTTGCAGCTGTGAAGCAACTCTTTGTAGCTCAGCAAGAGTGGGGCACGAGGCCTGTGTCGGCCTGTGTATTTCTGTGTCTTCTTCAGACCTGGGTGGGATGTGGCTTTAGAAGGCTCACTCACACACTGTATGTGCTCTTCTCTGGAGAGCTGCCTTCCACCCTAATGTGGGAAGCTGAGTTAACCTGAACTCGCTAATTCTTCCTGATGAGTTCAAGGTAGTAGTACTGGCCGAATGAATCTTAAACTGAATGAATCAAGTCAAAGATGTTTAGAAATTCTCCTTTTGAAAACTGGGCTCAGTTGTGATAAGACTGCTCATTTTAAATGTTGTATGGTATTTTGCATTGAAAAATAAACAGCTAACTTGGTATCCATCCCTCTTACTACTCATCTGCAGTGGATCTCTCTAAAGGTCCTGGAGCCTTAGAGCCTCAGTGGGAACACCTACCTCACAGGGTTGTTGTGAGGACGCCATGAGCTGATGTATGTGGAAAGCACTTGGTGGACTGTAAAGTGCTGTGCTGTCAGTGTTACTGCTGCTGTATCTGAGCTGTCTCCAGAATAGCACAATAAACCTGCAGGCTTTTCTGTTAAAGTACAGTAGTTGGTAAAACTTTGAATAAACAGTTATTACAATGTACGTAAGTATTCTATAAGATCTTTCTTTGGATTAACTTTCAAGATTTTATGTGTATCTAAACTTCATTTTAAAGACTGCAGGCACACAGTGTGGAAGGGCTCTGCCTTTGCTGCTCTTCACAGAGGAAGACCTCCTGAAATGCCCGTGAATTATGGCTCCCCACCAAGTCTTGGTGAGTGCGGTTGGCCTGTGAGACTTTATAGATGCAGTGGAAGTCCTGGTATAGTGTGATCACAGTAGCAAAAAGTACCAAATTTCAAATTTCTTGTTGACTTAAAGTAACTAAAAATGGTTCTGTTATAGTACAGTAGAATTAGGACAAAGTGTGAGTCATTTGGATTTCTCAAACTCTGGAAATTGTTTTGGGATCTTTTTTAATTTTTACATGCTGGCTCCCCCTTAACCATTTCCGTTGTTTTTATTTCCTAGTGGAGATACACCGAGGAAAACAGCTCACAGGGTGTTCCACTTTTAGCACAGCGTTCCCAGGAACTATGTATCAGCATATAAAGATGCACAGGAGGATTCTCGGACATCTGTCTGCTGTGTACTGTGTAGCATTTGATAGGACAGGACATAGAATCTTTACAGTGAGTGAACGTCTTACTCAATTTGGTACTGCCTGGAGTGCTGTAGCATCCTTGACAAGGAGCATGGAGAGGCTCTTACTTCCCATCCACAGACATTTTGATCATGGAGATGTGGTGCAGGGTCTAAAATTTTGTAGTTTCTTAAGTATTACTTCAAGTGATTGGGCAACACAGTCAGCTCTGGGCTGTGTTGAGAGTGGAGGAGTCCTGTATAACTCCTGGGGAGGTGATGATGAGTTGAGGCCTGCTTCAGAATAACGGTGCTCTCTCTCTAGCTCTGTTGCCATGCACTCTTTGTTTTCAAATAATAGAAAGTACATAACTAAAACTTTCTCTTCTAGGACATTTGAGACTAAAGGAATTAAGTTACATTGAGATTAATCCTACGTTATCAGTAAAAAGCTCCCTCTTACTACTCAGGAAATCCCAGATCATAGGTGATGACTCATACTTACATGGATTAATCAGCCACTAATTCATTATATTCATTTCTGTATTCAAGGGGTTATTTGAAAATTAAGAGTATGACTGTTCCAATATTTTTAAAGACTAAAATAATTTTTTAAGTGGATTGAAAACAATAGTCAGCTGTGTTGATTGAACAGTATCTAGTTTGAGATTGTAAATTTGAGACTTGTTTATTTCAAAAGAGCGTACTTTCCCCACTATGGTGTGTAGTCTGGTCCCAGGAATTTAGGTCTGTCCCAACTTTGATTTGTAGCTTGGTAAACTAACTTGCTATTGTAACTGGTATTGGGGAGTGGGAACTTAGGGTTGGGCCCACTACATTCTTGGGAGAGAACTTTTTGAAAACAGTAGTATATGGGAGAATCTGACTCATAGATTTTGTGTAAGCTTTCTGCTTTGAAGAGAAATGCTAAGTCTGTGTGTTCTGGTGGTAGCAGTAGTAATTACAGTATTTGGCTGGAAAGGAGAGGAATAATAGTAAGGGTGGTATCATTCCTGTTTCAGTTTCGTGGATGCTGTGTTAACATTTGTATTGGGGTGTTGCTTTTTCTTAGGGGTCAGATGATTGTTTGGTAAAGATTTGGTCAACACATAATGGCCGCTTGTTGTCTACGTTAAGAGGCCATTCTGCAGAAATTTCAGACATGGCTGTGAACTACGAGAATACACTGATTGCAGCAGGAAGCTGTGATAAGATCATCAGGGTGTGGTGCTTGAGGACCTGTGCCCCAGTTGCTGTGCTGCAAGGACACACGGGGTCAATTACATCTTTGCAGGTAACTTCTAGCCCACTGACACCACAGTTTAACTTTTGGAATGAAATAGTAAGGTGATGTGATTATATGATGTTTTAAAAACTTGATTGTTTCTTTTTTAAAATTGATTCTTATTTTGTGTGTGTGTGTTTGGCTTGCATCTACGTCTGCACCGTTGTGTGTGTAGAAACCTGAGAGGCCATCAGGGGGTTGCTTGTGAGCTGCCGTGTGTGTACTGAGAATTGAACCCATGTCTGTGTAAGAGCGCTGAGTCACTGAGAGCGCTTGACAGCTGAGCTATCTCCAGCTCAGCTGATAATATCTTTCTATAGATTATGGAAGAAAATGTGTAAGGATGCAGAGCTTTCAGAGTGATGTACTGACCGCTTTGAAGCTTATGGTTGAATTGCATGAAAGCCTGTTACAAACTGGCAATGGGTTATTTTTCTGTTTAAAACTGGTGCATTTTGATGAGTTGATTAAATTAGATAAAAATCTTCCTACAATAAGTGGGAAGTCGTTTTTAAATATATACATGAAGTGTAGAAAAATGTAGTGGGTCTCTGTGGCCTATCAGCTTAACTTTTATTTTAATTTACTTTTTTTTTTTAAAATAGATTGTTTTGAGGTCTATGTTTTTCTCTGCTCCCCTCCCCGCCTCGCCTCTCCCTTTCAACCCTCTCCCATGGTCCCATGTTCCTAATTTACTCAGGAGATCTTGTCTTTTTCTAGTACTCATGTAGATTAGGTCCATGCATGTCTCTCTTAGGGTCCTCTTTGTTGTCTAGGCTCTCTGGGATTGTGATTTATAGGTTGGTTTTCTTCGCTATATGTTTAAAAACCACTTATGAGTGAGTGTATATGATATTTGTCTTCCTGGGTCTGGGTTATCTCACTCAATATGATGTTTTCTGGCTCCATCCATTTTCCTGCAAATTTCAAGATGCTATAATTTTTTTCTGATGTGTAGTGTTGCAAGTGTAAATTTACCACATTTTCCTTATCCATTCTTCGGCCAAGCGGCATTGAGGTTGTTTTCAGGTTCTGGCTATGTCAAACAAAGCTGCTATGAACACATGTCCTTGTGGCACGATTGAGCATTCTTTGCTGTATACCCAAAAGTGATATTGCTGGGTCTTAAGGTTGTTTCCTAATTTTTCTGAGAAATCGCCACATTGATACCCAAAGGGGCTGTACCAGCTTGCATTTCCACCAGCAGTGCAGGTGTGTTCCCTTTACCCCACAACCTCTCCAGCATACATTGTCATCAGTGTTTTTGATCTTGGTCATTCTTACAGGTTTAAGATGGAATCTCAGAGTTGTTTTGATTTGCATTTCTCTGACTGGATGTTGAGCATTTCCTTAAGTGTCTTTCAGCCATTTTAGATTCCTCTGTTGAGAGTTCTTCGTTTAGGCCAGTACTCCATTTTTTTATTGGATTATGTGATCTTTTGGTGTCCAATTTCTTGAGTTCTTTGTATATTTTGGAGATCAGACCTCTGTCTGATGTAGGGTTAGTGAAGATCTTTTCCCATTCTGTAGGCTGTTGTTTTGTTGACCATGTCCTTTGCTTTACAGAAGCTTTTCAGTTTCAGGAAGTCCCATTTATTGTTTCTCAGTGTCTGTGCTGCTAGGGCTATATTTAGGAAGTGGTTCCCTGTGCCAATGCGTTCGAATATACTTCCCACTTTCTCTTCTATAAGGTTCAGTGTGGCTGGCTTTATGTTGAGGTCTTTGATCCATTTGGACTTGAGTTTTGTGCATGGTGATAAATATGGGTCTATTTTCATTCTTCTACATGTTGATATCCAGTTATGCCAGCACCACTTGTTAAATATGCTTTCTTTTTTCTATTTGATATTTTTTACTTCTTTGTCAAAAATCAAGTGTTCCTGGTTGTGTGGATTAATGTCCAGGTCTTCGATTTGGTTCCATTGGTCCTTCTGTCTATTCTTATGCCAATACCAGGCTGTTTTCAGCTCTGTAGCTCTGTAGTAGAGTTTGAAGTCAGGGATTGTGATGCTTCCAGAAGTTTCTTTATTGTACAGAATTTTTTTTGGCTATCCTGTGTTTTTTGCTTTTCCATATGAAGTTGAATACCATTCTTTCGAGGTCTGTAAAGAATTTCGCTGAGATTTTGATGGGCTTTGCATTGAATCTATAGATGGCTTTTGTTAAGATTGCCATTTTCATTCTACCTACTCAAGAGCATGAGAGATCTTTCCACTTTCTGGTGTCTTCTTCAGTTTCTTTCTTCAAAGATTTACAGTTTTTGTCATACTAGTCTTCCACTTGTTTGGTTAGAGTTATTTGGAGATATTTTATGCTATTTGTGGCTATTGTGAAGGGTGTTGTTTCTCTTAATTTCTTTCTCAGCCCATTTATCATCTGTGTATAAGAAGACTACTGATCTTTTTGATTTAATCTTGTATTCTGCTACATTACTGAAAGTGTTTGAGTTGTAGAAGTTCCTTGGTAGATTTTTTAGGATTCCTTATGTAAACTATCATATCATCAGCAAATAGTGAGAGTTTGACTTCTTTTCTGATTTGTATCCCCTTGATCTCCTTTTGGTGTCTTATTGTTCTAGCAGGACCACAAGAACTATTTTGAACAGATATGGAGAGAGTAGACAACCTTGTCTTGTTCCTGATTTCAGTGGGATTGCTGTGAGTTTCTCTCCATTTAGTTTGATGTTGGATGTTGACTTGCTGTATATTGGCTTTATTATGTTTAGGTATGTTCTTTGTATCCTTATTGTCTCCAAGACCTTTATCATGAAGGGATGTTATAATTTATTGAAGGCTTTTTCAGCATCTAATGAGATGATCTTTTTTTTTTTTTTCAGTTTGTTTGTATGGTGGATTATGTTGACAGATTTTTGTATGTTGAACGTTCATTCTCTGGGATGAAGCTGACTTGATCATGGATTTATGGTTCTGATGTGTTCTTGTATACGATTTGCCAGAATTTTATTTAGTATTTTTGCATCAATGTTCATGAGTGAGATTGGTCTGCAATTCTCCTTCTTAGTAATGTCTTTATGTGGTTTGGATATCAGAGTAATTGTAGCCTCATAAAAAGTGTTTGGCATTGTTCCATCTGTTCCTATTGTGTGAAACAATTTGAGGAGTATTGGTATTCGTTCTTTGAAAATCTTGTAGAATTCTGAGCTGAAACTATCTGGTCCTGGGCTTTTTTTGGTTGGGAGACTTTTGATGACTGTTTCTATTTCTTCAGCAGTTATAGGTCTGTTTAATTTGCTCATCTGGTCTTGATCTAATTTTGGTATCTGATATTTATCCAGAAAGTTATCCATTTTCTTTAAGTTTTCCAATTTTGTGGAGTATAGGTTTTCAAAATATGACCTGATGATTCTCTGTATTTCCTCAGTGTCTGTTAATGTTCCCCTTTTCATTTCTGATTTTGTTAATTTGGATAATTTCTCTCTGCCTTTTGGTTAGTTTGGATAAAGGTTTGCCTATTTTGTTGATTTTTCTTTAAGAACCAACTCTTTGTCTCATTGATTCTTTGTATTGTTTTCTTTGTTTCTATTTTGTTGATTTCAGGTCTCAATTTGATTATTTCTTGCTGTCTAGTTCTTATGGGTGAGTTTTCTTTTGTTCTAAAGTTTTCAAATGTGGGATTTTTCTTTATGTAGGCATTTAGTGCTATGAACTTTCCTCTTAACACTGCTTTCATTGTGTCCCATAAATTTGGGTCTGTTGGGAGGTTATTTTCATTGAATTTTAGGAAGTCTTTAATTTCTCCCTTTATTTCTTCCTTGACCCATTGATGATTCGAGTGAGCATTTTTTAATTTTCATGTGTTTGTGGACTTTCTGAAATTAGTGTTGCTGTTGTATTCTAGTTTTAAGCCATGGCGATCTGATAAGATACATGGGGTTATTCTATTTTTTTCCTATCTGTTGAGGTTTGTTTTGTTACCGAGTATGTGGTCAATTTTTTAGAAGATTCCATGAGGTGCTGAGAACAAGGTATATTCTTTTCTGTTTGGATGGAATATTCTATAGATGTCTGTTAAGTCCATTTGAGTCATAACTCGTTAATTTTCTTTTATTTCTTTGTTAATTTTTTTGTCTGACTGACCTGTCCAGTGGTGAGAGTGGAGTGTTGAAGTCTCTCACTATTAGTGTGTGGGGTTTAATGTATGTTTTAAACTTTAGAAATGTTTCTTTTACATATGAGGGTAACCTTGTATTTGGGGCATAGATGTTCAGTATTGAGATTTCCTCTTGATGGATTTTTCCTGTGACTAATATGAAATGTCCTTCTTTGTCTCTTTTGATTTTAGTTTGAACCTATTTTGTTAGATATTAGGATAGCTATAGCAGCTTGTTTCTTAGGTCCATTTGATTGGAAATTTTTTTCCTAACCCTTTATTGTGAGGCGATGTCTGTCTTTGAGGTTAAGGTGTGTTTCTTGTATGCAATAGGATGGGTTCTGTTTTCGTATCCAATCTGTTAACCTGTGTCTTTTTATAGGTGAGTTGAGTCTATTTATATTAAGGGATATTAATGACCAGTGATTGCTGTCTCCTGTTAATTTAGTTTTCATCATTGGTGATGTTAATTTTTGTGTTTTTCTCTTCTTTGGGGTTTGCTGCTGTGAGATTATCTATTGTATGTGTTTATGCGGATGTGGTCAACTTCCTTGGGTTGGAGTTTTCCATCTAGTACTTTGTGTTGGGCTGGGTTTGTGGCTAGGTATTATTTAAATCTGGTTCTCTCATGGAATATCTCTGGTGATTGAAAGTTTTGCTGGGTATAGTAGTCTGGTCTGGCATCAGTGATCTCTTAATGTCTGCATAAGGCTTGACCATGACTTTCTGGCTTTCATTGTTTCTAATGAGAAGTCAGGTGTAATTCTGATAGGTCTGCCTTTATATGTTACTTGGCCTTTTTCCTTTTTAGCTCTTAAAATTCTTTCTTTATTCTGTATGTTTAGTGTTTTGATTATTATGTGGCAAGGGGACTATTTTTTATCCAGTCTATTTTGGTGTTCTGTAAGGTTCTTGTATCTTCATAGGCATGTTTGTCTTTAGGTTGGGAAAGTTTTCTTCTGTGATTTTGTTAAATATATTTTCTGTGCTTTTGAGTTGACCTTCTCCTTCTATTCCTGTTATTCTTAGGTTTGGTCTTTTCATGGTGTCCCATATTTCCTGGATATTTTGAGTTAAGTAAGCTTTTGGGTTAGATTTAATGTTTTCTTTGACCGATGAATCTATTTCCTCTATTGTATCTTCAGTGCTTGAGATTCTTTCTTTCATCTCTTGTATTCTGCTGTTTATGCTTGGATTTGAGGTTCCTGATCATTTCTCATGATTTCTGTTTCTAAAATTCCCTTGGCTTGTGTTTTCTTTATGGTCTTTATTTCAGTTTTCAAGTCTTGAATAGTTCCTTTTATATGTTTGATTGCTTTTTCTTGGTTTTTCTAAGGGATTTGTTGATGTCTTCCAATTTTTTGTTTGTCTTTTCCTCTTTTTTAATTTGGAAATTCTCATTTCCTCTTTAAGAGTTTCAAACATTCAGACATTCTCCTAAAGTTATTTTTTAGGTCATTTTCTTCTGCTTCATCTGTATTTGGTTGTTTAAGTCTTGCTGTTAAAGAATCACTAGATTTTACTGGTGTCGTGTTGGTCTTTGTGGTGTTGTGAGTGTTCTTGTCTACACATCTTTTCCTCTAGTTTGTGTTGTTGGGGCTGTGACTCTGGTGATGAATCCTATAGTGGCTTTGGCTCAGGTCTACTCCCTGGTCCCAGACTCATGCCTGGATCCGCAGAGGTCTCTGTACCTGCTCCTGTGGAGTTGTCTGTCTCAGAGCAGTGGTACTCTTTGGTGTTCATGAATCGACCTGCAAGGCCTGGAAACATCAGCAGTCCTGTCAGAGCTGCTGCTGTCCTGTTAGAACCCATTGATTGCTGCCTTAGGATTGACCATCGGCTCAGCAGGAACTAGAAATGTTGCTGTTTTCTGTTTTTGAGGCGGTTTCTGTGTGTAGCCCTGGCTGTCCTGGAACTCAGATACCCACTTGCCTTTGCCTCTTGAGTGCTGAGAGCAAAGGCGTGCGCATTACACCCAACCTCTGATTTTTATTATTCCTCTTTAACTCACATTTCTTAGGTTGAGCTAAATTGTTAGATTTATGAGGCTTTTAACTACATGTTGTTGCCGTTAAGATTTGGTTAAACGTGCAGAGAGGGTTCCATTTTCTTATGCAGCTTTGGTGTAGAGTTCTGTGATCTGAGTGACTTGATGCTTCTGCTGAGTCTTTTCACACATACGCTTAAAATGTTATTCTTGGCCTGGAGAGATGGCTCAGTGCATAAAGGCAATTTCTGCCACGTCTGATAACCTGAGTTTGAGCCCTGGAAGGAAAGAACTGAGTCTCTCTCCATGTGCCATGATGTACAATAAAGCTGTTCATTCTCATGTGAAGATAATGTTTCAACTTGAAATTCATTAAGGTTTTTAGGTGCCCATTATTTCTAGGCAATAGATTATTTTTTGGAAAAACTTTTTTTTTTTTTTTTAAAGTTTTGAGACAATCTCCTGTTGCTTTGGTTGATCTTCAACCTGGTTTGTTACCAAGGGTGACCTTGACTTTATAATCCCCAGTCTCTACATCCAGAACTGGAATTACAGGTGTGTATTGCTACACCTGTTGAATTACTAGCGCTAGAAGCACAGACTTCAGGTACATCTGGCAAGTACTCTGCCAGTTGAAATACATTCCTCACCCCGAGAAGTCTTTTCCGCTTAAAAATTAATAAAAACTAGCATGTGTCATAGTTATTATGTTCTGATGGACCTCCAGGAAGTAGAGCAGCTATGGAGGAGCCTTGTGCTCTTTGATAAAATACATTTGAGCAGTGTTGGAGTACGGAGGAGTGCTAGCTTTGCCTGGAGCCATTCTGTTAGTTACGTGGGGCTGGCCACATGTGCTTGCAGTCTGCTGGGCAGGCCTCAGGACTGACTGTACCTCCTACCAGAGCACTGGGCTGGGCTCGTGGTTTCCTTGAGTTCTGTGCTTCCTGTTATTGGTCCTTTGAGAGGATCCTTAAAATTCAGTGACAGCATCATTCAGTTTGTTGAGATTAGGCACTTGGTATAGCCCTGGCTGGCATGTAACTGAGTCCTGCCTGTTTGTGTTGAGATTAAAGGCATTGTTTATGGTGTTGCCTATAGGAAGATTAGGTAGAGGATCAGAACACAGAGGATAACAAGCCTGTTTTAGCTAAGAATAATGACAGGTTTTAGTATTTGCCTTTTAAAGAACTCCAAATAGTCTATTTTCATTTAATATAATTTACATCCTTAAAAATATAAGTATTAAGGTGTAGTTACCACCAGAGGCAGAGTATTCTCTAGGAATGGAATGTTCAAAGTTTCCTGGACTTCTTTTTATTTTAAAGATTTTTAAAAAATTTTATGAGTGTGGCTGTTTTGCCTGCATGTATTTCTGCACACCAGTAGAGGGCATCAGTTCCCATAGTACTGCAGTTCTAGACAGTTGTGAGCTGCCTATGGGTGCTGGAAATTGAACCCAGAATCTGAGAAAGCAATTAGTGCTCTTTACTGCTGAGCTACTCCAGCCCCCAAGGCTGGACTTACTTTAAGACTTGTAGAAGCACCACTCTGATGAGACAGGTGAGGCTTTGTCGTGGGAAATGGAGTTGTCATTATGAGATAAATAAGGAAAGCTCAGAGAAGGAACTTGTACTAAGAGGTGTTTGGTGCTTTAAAGGGGCTTACCTGGGATGTTGAGCAGGATGTATGACAGGAATCATGGGTTAAGGGAGGTAGTGAATAAAAACTAGGGTCTGTTGTAGAGGGTTTTAAAGATAAGAATGGCCCTGTTGTAATCAGAAGAGTTTCATCCTAGAAATAAAGATGATCCAGAACTAAATTTACCTGCCCAGAAAACGAAGCCCAGTTTCAAGTAATCTGTTCTCCTGAATGAGGAATCACCAATATGGTGCAGGCTAAAAGCATAAGTTGCTTCATTTAGAGACAAGCAAACATAAGGCATAAAAAAGGAATATTAAAGAAAAATGCAAATAAATAATAAGAGCCGAGCTTTACTGGACAGGAGAAATGCAGTGGTAAATAAGACAGAATGGAGATCTACAGGTCTGAGTTGGGACTGCTTGTGCTTAAATACAGTTAGCCAGTATGAATAAGTAGAATCAATCCACCAGTGAGCCAGAAGCGCAGAAGCAAACTCTACAATTAAAATCCGTAACTGACTTTTAAGAACCCAGTGGCTGAAGCTCAGTGTAGTGACTCAGGCCTTTAATCTCCAGCGGGAGAGTCATGGGTTCAAAGTAAGCCTTGGGCTGTATAGCAGGATCTGTTTCTTAAAAAAAATCAGAACTCCAACTCTCAATAGGAATGCAGTGGATAAATTTAACAGAATATGGATACAACAAGAAATTGGAGAAAGAATTAGTGAGTTGAAAGGTCAGAAGAGAAGAGATAGCGTAAGAGGTAGGTTTTGACTAAGTTAGGTACTCTATTGTAATTGACATTCCTCCAGGGGAAGCACAGAATGAAGCAAAAAACACATTTAAAAAGTGTGTGGATTATGCACATACAGAGTAAATATTAAAATGTGTGGATTGTGCACATATAACAGATTAAATATTAGAAAGTACAGATTACGTGGTGTGGTGGGCAGTGCTTGCCAATACCAGTATTCAAGTGGCTGAGACAGGAGGATTACTGTAAATCAGAAACAGTGACTTAAGAGTTAAGTAGAGACCCTGTGGCAGCAGTACTGCCATAGAAGTGTTAGAAATCAGTGTCTTAGTCCAGGCAGGAGTTGGCAGGCTAGAGTGGAGTAAAATGTGTGTCTGGAGGTTTGCTGCAGAACACATATATATGACTTGAGAAAAAAAAATTGCTTGTTTGTTTTTGAGAGATGATATCTATATATAACAGCTCTGGCTGTCCTGGAACTTGCTCTATAGACCAGACTATCCTTGAACTCACAAGAGATCTGCCTGCCTCTGCCTTCCTTAGCTGCTGGCCCACAAATGTCTTTCTTACTCAGATGTTACAGTAGCACTTTGTTTTCTTTGGTTTTATTTCGTAAGATGTGTAAGTCACTGATGAGTTTGAAATGTATTATTGTATTCTCAAGCATGACCCCATCTCCTGTACCACCTATAGTTTCCCACATGTAAGATGTCTTGTACTAGCCTGGCAGTGATGACTTGAATCCCAACACTTGGGGGGGGGGGCAGAGAGGCAGGCAAATCTGAGTTTCAGGCCAGCCTGGTCTACAGAGTGAATTTCAGGATAGACCCCCCCCCCCCAAAAAAAAAAATACGCCTTGCACTTTGGTCTAATTTTGTTTTTTCCATTTGTAATTCTACCCTTGTCCTTCTTACACTGAATAGTGCTAGTTACTGAAGCTCAGGTTTGGCGTGTTTTAGTGTTTTAAAACTAGATCTTGACTTTGTCAGAGTTACTCTTGTTCTTGTTTGCTTGTTGTGAGAATTGATCAGAATCAGGTTTGAGTTAGTGTGCACTCTTAGAGTTGTCACTGCTGATACCACCTTCCTCAGCGTGTCAGCTGATGTGAACTTGGGACCTGCTAAGCTGTAGCTAAGGAGAGACTAGACAGAGACTCATGTGTGTTGTTGACTTTCAGTTTAGCCCAATGGCCAAAGGACCTCAGAGATACATGGTCTCCACTGGTGCTGACGGCACTGTTTGCTTTTGGCAGTGGGATTTGGAGTCCTTGAAATTCAGGTGAGTGACTTACATGATGTTTTAATGTGATGGGGACAGTATAAAAGGAAAATACTCTCCTGAGCTCAGTTTGTCACTGCATCAGCTTCACTGGAACAGGAAAGCTTAACTTTTTCATTGCTCACATTTGTAAGCAAAATCAAACAACAGATAATTTAGAAAAGACAGAGACGGAGAGTTAGGTGTGTAATCAGAAGCGTTGACAGGAGCACTGGGCTCAGGAACTTTGCTGTTAGAGAGCAGTGGCTACAAAGACAGAGGTGGATCTGTATAGGTGGGTCTCTGTGAGTTCAAGACCATCCTGGTCTACAGAATGAGTTCCATCCAGGACAGCTAGGGCTACACAGAGAAACTCTGTCTTGAGAAAAGGAAAAAGAAGCAAAACTTAAAAAAAAAAAGATTTCTTATTTATTATGTATACAGTGTTCTGGCATGTACGCCTGTAGGTCAGAAGAGGACACCAAATCTCTTACAGATGGTTGTGAACCACCATGTGGTTGCTGGGAATTGAACTCAGGTCCTCTGGAAGAGCAATCAGTGCTCTTAACCTCTGAGCCATCTCTCCAGCCCTTTATATAAATAAATAAATATATATATATATATATATATATATATATAATTTTATTTTTAAATGCAGGCGTTAATGTTTCTAAGATTTATTTTATATATGTGTTCTATCTGCATGTACATCTTTAGGCCAGAAGAGGGGGTCAAACCCCCATTATAGACGGCTGTGAGCCATGATGGGGATGCTGGGAATTGAACCCAGGACCTCTGGAAGAGCAACTAGTGCTCTTTACCACTGAACCCATCTCTCTAGCCTGAGAGATTTTATACACATGTACACACATATTTTGTTATTGTTGCTTGTAGACAAAAGTTTCTGTCCAGCCTAGTCCTGTAGCCATTCAGTCCCAAAGAAACACATAGAGGTGTATATTAATTAAAAACTGTTTGGCCTGTTAGCTCAGGCTTATTATCAACTAGCTCTTACAATTTAAATTAACCCATAATTTTTGTCTTTGTTTAGCCCACGTGACTTGGTACTTTTTCTCAGTAAAGCATTCTCATCTTGCCTCCTCTGCATCTGGCTTTGACTGGCTCTCTGCAGTTCCTCTTCCCAGAATTCTTAGTATGGTTGCCCTGCCTATACTTCCTGCCTGGCTACTGGCCAATCAACATTTTATTAAACCAATATGAGTGACAATTTTTTTTTACAGTGTACAAAGGCATTGTCCCATAACAGTCGCTATGTTGGTATATCTGAATTTATAGTATACCCCAGCCCCAACTTAAGTATTTTTTGATAAAAATTAAAGATTAATATTGAGATGTGTTTTGTTGTACATGAACTAAAGACTAAAAGCCTTTCATTGAAGTTGTATCAACATAGAAATATTGATATGGTATACTTGGGTTTGTCCCATTTTTATGTTGACCAAATCCAAACTTGTTTAGGCAAGCAGGTAGGTAGTCTACTAGCTATGTAGATACTAGCTGTATCCCCAACCACAAGGAGATGATAGTAATGTTAATTAGGCTATGTTTAAGGCAGTATTTTAGGGCCACCGAGATGGCTCGTGGGGTAATAGCTCTTGCTGTGGAAATCTGATGACTTACTTGAGTTACATTCCCAGAACCATGGTGTTCTGACATGGTCCTGACAACTGTCCCTTTGCCTCTGGTGGTGTGCCATGGCATGTGTGCACTCAATGTACACACATCATGCATATTTAGTAGTGATAGATAAAACTCCCCAGTGCTCTGATTAAATATGTTAGCATGTATTCTAAAAGCATATCATCTCTTTTAAAGTCCACGCCCCCTGAAGTTCACAGAAAAGCCGAGACCTGGTGTTCAGATGCTGTGCTCCTCATTTAGTGTTGGTAAGATAACACTTGATGCTTTTCCCTCAGTTTAAAGCAGCCTTCATCACGTCAGAAAAGTATCCCATGAATTCTGTTCTCTATATTAGCTTAATTTGTGTTGATAATTTCTAGAGTTCACTACGTGATTTTTAAGTATTTGGGTTCAGTGGAACAAAGACAAACCTGAGAACATGGGTGTGGGCTTGTCAAAGGAGAGTGACATCAGCGAGGTTCAGCCCACTGCCTCTTTCTTCCCTCTGTTGACTAACACTGTTCAGTCACTAATATGTAAGAGAATTCTCAGCAGGGAGGCTCATGGTATCATGTAAGTAAGTTGTTCTGGGGTCATGTGGCCATGTGTAGGATATTCTCTGATAACCTGCTTAGATATGTATTTTTGTTTAAATGTGACAGAATCTTGGAGATATTATTCCCCTCATTCTTTCCTGGTTAGCAGACTTATGACAAATTGTGCAGACTAGGCCCACTCCATTTCCCTTTAGCTATGACACTGTCCTAGGGAACTCTGGTTGTGGAAGTGTTATTTGCTCAGGAGACAGAGTCTGTTGGGGACTGATGCTCGGGGTGAAAGCTGAGTGAGATAAGGGAGTGTGTTCCCAGTTGGATTAGATTTTCTACCAAAGCTGAGAGTCGAGCTTTGTAGGCATGTTTAAAGAGCCGGAGGACGGGCTTGTAGCGATGCTCCTGATGTGGAGGAGAAGTGTGTTCTATTGGTGTGTTTGTTAGAAGCTACACATTTAAACTCTTAACATTTTTATTCCAGGTGGTATGTTTTTAGCCACGGGAAGTACTGATCATGTGATTAGAATGTACTTTTTGGGGTTTGAAGCACCTGAAAAAATCGCCGAACTTGAGAGCCATACTGTAAGCATTCATTTTTTAAAATTCTGTAAATGTGTTAATCATTGTTTCACTGCAAAAGCCAATTTTACTAATTTAACTGAGGGCTTTGTTTTTTTCCTCCTCCTGTTTAACAGATTACTTTTATTTTAAAAACCGTTTTTTACCCATTAGGCTTTTTGAGACAGGATCTGGTCTTCCTTTGATGTGTCAAACTCTCCAGTTTCTTCCACAGCCTATTTAGTGCAGGGATTATAGGTGTATGCCACCTTGCCCACTTACTTTTCTTTATTTTTAAAAGTAGTGTGTATATACATGTGGATCTGTTAGGATGGGTTGATACGTCCCCTAGAGGGCAAACCAGAGGAGGCCAGAAGGAAGGGCATTAGGTCCCCTGGAGCTGGAGTTGCAATTGGGAGCCCCCTCCACATTGGGTGGGTGCTGGTTTCTTGGGTCTTCTCAAAGAACAGTATGCTCTCTTATCCAATAAGCTGTCCTTCCAGACCTGCACTGCTTATTTGTAGAGACATGATGGCTATAATTCTATTCGGTCTGTCTGTCTGTCTGTCTATCTTCTATGAGAATTTGTGTATATTTTGATGCTATTCACCCCACCACACCCCCCTCCAACTCTCCATACCCACACAGCCAGTTTGTCTACTCAAGTATTCTTGGATGTGTGGCCTTACGCTGGCGCATGGCCATTTTTACTCATAGAGAAAACTCACCTCTTTATCCTTTAGTCAGTTGTTGTGCACAGCTGCTTTGCTAGGGTGAAGCTCTGTGGGGAGCTCACCGGGTAAAGTGCTTGTTGTGTGAGCCCAGTGTAAAGCTAGAGTCTAACCAGTTGGCGAGCTTGAGGTTCAGTGAAAGACCCTGACTCAGAATATAAACTAGATACACTCTGTCCACCTGACCTTCACATACATGTGCATAAGGACAAATATGGACACACATATTTACACAAGCCACACAGACAATTTAAAAAAACACCTTTTAATTTAAAGATTAATTTTTATGCTGGGCAGTGTTGGCACACACTGTTAATCTCAGCACTTGGAGTCAGAGGTGGGTGGATATTGGAGTTCAAGGCCAGCCTGGTCTACAGAGCTAGTTCTAGGACTGTACAGAGAAACCCTGTCTCAAAAAAAAAAAAAAAAAAAAGAAAAAGAAATTTTATAAATTTAAGTGTTTTTTTTTTTTTGTTGTTGTTGTTCTTCATTTTGGTTGTTTTTGTTTTTTTCTTTTAGAGATAGTGTTTCTCTGTGTAGATTTGGTGCCTTTGGTCCTGAACTACCTTCTTGTAGACCAGGATGGCCTTGAACTCAGATCTACCAGTCTCTGCCTGGAGTGCTGGGATTAATGGAGTGTGCCATAACTGCCCAGTTGAAGTGTGTGTGTTTATAATCACTTGTTACCTAGTGTTCTTTGAGGACAAAGGAGGGTGTCACATGGTTGTGAGACGCTGTGAGCTTCTGTTCTGCCCATTGAGCCGTCTCTAGTCCCCTGTACCATACAGTCTTACTGAATGCGGTCCATACTCAGAGCTGATTTAGTGAATGGATTCCGGTTGTGCTAAGAGAGAACATGTTTTGTACATAAATAAGAAAGTGCTGCACCTTTTGGCTTCGCTGGAGTCTGTTTTGATCTTTTTACTTGCAGTCAGAGTCAGTTTTCAGAGTGATTTTCAGCACAGCTGGTTTTGTGTGCCCATCTTTTTCTGAGTGTGGTTCTCTTGGAAAGGTTTCAGTACTCTTAGTCTTAGTGAACCCCTAAAGCCTTTCCATAGGTGTGACGCATGTATCTATAGTGACTGGCCACGTCCGTTTCTTACTATTAAACGATTGAATTTTTTCTTTTTTCTTTCTCTCTCTCGCTCTCTCTTTTGAGAAAGGGACTCTGTGTAGCCCCGAGCTCACAGAAATCCACATGCCTCTGTCTCCTGGCTGCTGAGATTAAAGGCATGTGCTGCCACACCTGGCCCCCAGTGTATTTTTTAGCATATAAATTTGTTCATTGAGTAATGTAGATAAGTTTTCATATTTGCTTTTTCCTCTTTAGGACAAGGTTGATAGTATCCAGTTTTGTAACAATGGTGACAGGTAAGTGTGTGCTTGCATTTGTATATGTCTTCAGGCAAAGAAAATACACTCCTTATTGCTCTAGCTGCTAAATAATTTCTACTTCATATTAAGTACAGTTTCGTTTTTATTTGTGAGTCTAATGGCACATCTTGACACTTGGAATGATAGACTCAATCTAATGGACGTACCGCTTATGAGCTGATTGATGGTGATCAGTTCTGGGAATTGAGCTTGACCCTGTGCATGGTAGACGCCCTAATGTCATCCTGTACTTTCTCTGACCTTGAAAGTACTCGATTTTGAAAACATCACACCCTCCTGCTGTCTGTGCATTGCAGGTGCTTTCAGTAGACAGATTTTTTCACGATGTGTTAGATTTTAGAGTGTGCCTTTCTGCTTTGGCCAAGGGTTGATTCCTGAAAAAATTAAGTCCAAGAATGACATTTTTTTTTCTGAGTAGATTAAAAATCTTAAAGCCCTCACGAAAAAGCATTTGATTACCCATATTACAGCTGCCTTCTGGCCTATAGGATATGGCTGGTTCCTTTCCCAAAGAGCAGGTTTTATGTTTGGTGTTTTGGGGACAGGGTTTTCTGAGTAAAACCCTAGCTGTCCTGGACCTAGCTCTGTAGACCAGGCTGGCCACGAACTCATAAAGATCTGCCTGCCTCTTCCTCCCGAGTTCTGGGATTAAAGGTGTGCACCACCATCACTGGCTTTTTTTCTTTCTTTTCAGTTTTTTAAAAGATTTATTATGTATAGTATACAGTGTTTTACTTCCATGTTTGCCTGCACACCAGAAGAATGTATCAGATCCCATTATAGATGGTTGTGAGTTACCATACGGTTGCTGGGAATTGACCTCTGGACCTATAGAAGAGCAGCCAATGCTCTTAGCCTCTGAGCCATCTCCCCCCCCCCCTTTTTTTTTTTGCGTGTTGATTTTTGTTTTTTCAAGACAGGATTTCTCTGTAACAGCCCCTGGCTGTCCTGGAACTCAAGAGATTCGACTGTCTTTGGCCCCCCCTAGTGCTGGAACTAACATGAGCTACCATGCCCAGCCCCAAAGTGTACTTACAAATTTTAAGTTTTTCATGGTTTATATTTCAGAGTTTGTTATGAGTTAGAATTTAAAACTGACATGCTTAAGATGGAGTTTCTGGTGCTGCTTATCTTTCTACATCTTTTTTTTTTCTTTAACTCTTTCTTGGTACATTTCCCCCTCTTATATTTTATTGTCTCCCTAAAACTCAGTGTATTTGTGATAACTGCTGAGTTTATAATGTGTTCTGCTTTGTAAGGCAAGGAAACCAATAGTAAATCAGGGTTTCCTTCTGGAACTTTGCCTTGAGTAATCCGACCTTGACTAACACGTGAGATCACTCACCAAGATGCTGTTTGATACATTGTGTTTCACTTAATGTTAATTGTAACTGTTGGGATAGCCTGTTGAGTGGATGAGTTTTCTGAATGTTTCAAGGTTCCTAAGTGGTAGCAGAGATGGAACAGCACGCATTTGGAGGTTTGAACAGTTGGAATGGAGAAGCATCCTACTGGATATGGCTACCAGAATCTCAGGGTAAGTCATTGGGATTGTTTCTTACACATAGGTGAACTGCTGGTGTGTTTCTTCTGCGTGTGGTTAGTTTTGTTGGGAGAATTTTAACTCCCTCCTACGTAGTATGAATAAAACTCTTCAACCTCATAACCAAATTAATGCAAGAAAGTTCACATGTATATTTCCGGAAAATAAAGGAGAAAGAACTTATTATGGTTCACATTTTGAGGGGCTTGGGTCTGTCATGGAACAAGGATGTGACAGAGCAGAACAGTATGTGCTGTGTTGGGTCAGGAAGCCAAGAACAGAAGAACAAGGGAACATCTAGGACAATATGGGCCCTATGTCAAGCACCCAGTGACCTACTGCCTCCCATTAGGCCCACCTGCCACCCTTCCCCACCTCCAGTTTCATCATAAGAATCCATCCTGTGGTTAACCATTGCAGGTAGGCTAGAGTCCTCCTGGTGTCCTTCTTGTCTTTTAAAGTAGGACGCCTAGAAGTGTCCTTCACTTCAGTCAGTAGAATTCTTCTTCACTTTGTACTTTTATTGTTACATTGTTTTTTACATTTACATTTAAAACCTACAGTTTAGAGGGAAAAAAACCCCAACCAAATTATTCAGTGTTGCAAATTTGCATTCTAAAGATAGGATTTTAAGGACAGGCGTTGGCAGATCTCTGAGTTCAAGGTCAACCTGATCTATAGAGTCAGTCCCAGGACAGTCAGAGCTACACAGAGAAACCCTGTCTCCAAAAACAAGCAAAATAAAATAATTTAAAAGAAACTTTTGTTTGTGGGTGGAGTTGGCATAGGTGGGGGGAGAATGTCTTTGTGCATGCCTGTGGAGACCAGAGATCTGGAGTTGGAGTTAGAAGTTGTTGTGAACTGCCTGTTATGAGTGCTTGGAACAGACTTGAGCTGATCCCCTCTATAAGAGAAGCAAGAACTCTTAACTGTTGAGCCATCTTGTCACTCCCATCCCACCCCCCCCCCCCCTTTTCTTTGAGGCAGCCTGTCTAGTAGCCAAGCCTGACCTTGAATTCCTCATCTTCTTCTTGCCCCTCCTTGATGCTGGGTTTATAGTACTACCTCTGCTGCCTGGCTAGAATTCTATTTCTGGTTTTTTTTTTTCTCTTCTATTTCTGTATTCTATATTTCTGTCCTGTCTTCCTTTGTGTTGCTGGATAAAATACCCTGACACAAGCAGCTTAGAAGAAAAAGGATCTATTTGGCTTATAATTTATGGTCCATTGTGGGAAAGTGATGGCAGAAACTCTAACCAGGTATTCACATCCACCCACTATCAAGAGCAGGGGAGAATGAATGAATGCATGCAGGCATGAATCTCAAACTCAGAATCCTCTCTCAGCTTACAGAGCTCAGGGTCCCCTGCCTGAGAATGGTGCTGCCCACATTGGGCACATGTTCCCTCAATTAAGATGACAGATGATTCCTCTCCCGCACACTTTCATGCCCCCCTGATCTAGGTAGGCCCTCACTGAGACTGTTCACAGGTGCTTCTGGATTGCCAGGCAGACAATGTAATCCACATAGTACACACGGTGGTCCTTGCTGCTGCTGTTATTTTTATATATCCTTCGGATGGAGATTTTATATATATGTATAAAATATATATATATATAAAATATATATATAATATATATATGTATATATATATGCTTTCTTCGAACTAAAACTGGATAACATAATAAGCAAATACAGTTTATTACAATGAAAGTAATTTGGGTCCATGTGGGAAGTTTTGCATGCTACACTTGTTGATTATAAAGTGGCTTTGCTGCTGAGTGTGGGGTCATCTAATGGGGGTGAGTGCTTAAGGCCTTGCACTTGAGGAGGCAGGCAAACCTTTGTGAGTTTGAGGTCAGTCTGGTCTATGTAGCCAAGTTCTGGGTCAGCTTATGGCTGCATAGAGAGAAGACCCTGTCTTACTTTCCACTTCAAACAAAACAAAAACAAGCACGGTGTCTTTTGAAAGGCATATGCTATTCTTTGTCTGGCTAGTTTTGTGTTTTGTTCTCAGTCTGTTGTAAAACACTCACCATGTCTTAGTTTCCTTAGTGTCACCGACACACCCCCTGACCACAGCAACCAGCGAGACAGGTTTATCTGCTACACAAGTCCAGGTTGTAGTCTAAGATGCAGAGGCTTGAAACAGGTGGATATGACCTACCCTCAAAGTTGAGCGGAGAAGAGTGTTTTTTAATGTATGCACGCTAGGACTCACCTCGCTGTCTACACTCTTCCAGTCTAAGATCCTCTGCTTTGTCTTTCTCTGCATAGAAAGGCAGTGGTGGCACATGCCTTAATCCAGGCAGAGGCAGGAGGATGTCTTGAGTTTGAGGCCAGCCTGGCCTACAGAATGAGTTCTAGGACAGTCAGGGCTACTCTACAAACAAACAAAATCAAACCAAAAAGGCTGGGTGGTAGTGGCACACGCCTTTAATCCCAGCACTCAGGAGTCAGAGACACTCAGGAGTCAGAGCCTGGTTTACAGAACTAGTTCCAGCACAGACTCCAAAGCCACAGAGAAACCTTGTCTCAGAAACAAAACTATGAACAGGATAGTTGTTGTAAGTAGCGGTGGTGTCCTAAAGTCTGCCCTGACTGTATTGTTAGTTATCCTCTGCTCCTCTGGATTTTCTCTGACCTACTTAAAGATAATTTATTTGTTGATAAATAGACACATGAATTAGATTCCTCCTAGCCATCTTTCCCTTTTTTTTTCTCTCTGTAACCTGGACTGTTCTTTGAACTCAAGTAGTTGAGGATGACCTTGATTTTATGATTCTCCTTTCTCTTCCCACCTACTGGAATCACTGGCTTTTACTGCCGTAGGTGGTGTAATAACTTTATGTACTGGGGATCAAGCAGTTCACCAACTGAGCTTCATCTTAGATTTCTTTATTAACGTTTGTATTAGTGATGGACTGTACCTGTGTGGTGTGCGTTCCAAGTGAGTTTACACAGTGTCTTTGCTTTGTTAGAGACACAGCTTCTGAAGAGGAGAGGTTTATGAAACCCAAAGTTACAATGATAGCTTGGAATCAGGATGACAGCATTGTAGTCACAGCTGTGAATGACCATGTCCTCAAAGTGTGGAATTCCTACACTGGACAGCTGCTTCATAACTTACTGGTAGGTAGTTCCAATAGGGTATGATAATTCAGAATTTTTAATTTACTTTAATTTTTGTTTACTTTTTAAGTTGATTGATTGATTGATTGATTGATTGATTGATTGGAGACAGAGTTTCTCTATGTAGCCCTGACTATCCTGGAACTCCCTCTGTAGACCAGGCTGACCTTGAACTCAGATCTGCCTGTCTCTACCTCCCTTGTGCTGGATCAAAGGTGTTTGCCACCATGCCAAACTCAGATTTTTTTTAGTCTTTGAGAGAAGTCTGGGTTAACTTTCAACTTGGTGTATATGTCAGAAAGACCTTGAACCTGTGGTTTTGGGTTTTGAGGTAGGGGATCTCTCTGTAGCCCTGATTGTCTTGGAACTCCCTATATAAAACAGCCTGGCCTCAAACTCACAGGGTCAGTGACCCTGAACCCCCCCTTTTTTTAAAGCCCCCTTTTAAATCATAACACTGATGTTATGAATATACTGAATAAATCATTTAAATGATTCAAATGACTAGGAATATTTATATGCATGTATAAATCATTGTTGATAGTATATTTTAAAGTTAATAAACATGACTTATTAATTTCAACATATAAGTTGCAAACTATTCTTAATATTATGACTTTGTTGAATAAAGGGACATGCTGATGAAGTGTTTGTTTTGGAGACACATCCCTTTGATTGCAGAATTATGTTATCTGCAGGACATGATGGCAGCATATTTATATGGGATATTACAAAAGGCATCAAGATGAAACATTATTTTAATATGGTAAGTAAAGCGAGTTTTTTTAATTGTGCTTTTATGGGCTATGAGAATTAGTTAGAAGTTGATTGACTTGCAGTGGCAACTTTTATACAAATCAAAGTAGTAGAAGCTTAGTCTGATAGCTCATACACATATGTTCATGGCACTTGTCAGTGTGTTTATTTTGTGTGTGCAGGTGTTTGGCATGTGTATAATGTGTGTGCAATGCCCAGTTGGCCAGAAGATGGCTGCAGATTGTCTGAAACTAGAGATAAAGATGGTTGTGAGCCACATTGTGGGTGCTGCTGGAAATTGAGCCCCAGATCCCCTAGAAGAGGTGCCTGTGCTCTTAACTGCTGAGCCCTTTCTCCAACCCTGTCGGTCAGTTTATATCCCAGTATAAAACTAAGTCAGTAGTTAGACTCTAGAACCAAATGAGGATCCTTTTGAAGAACTCACTGACGTGCCCATAACCTGAGAAAAAGGCAGTATTTGATCTGGGTCTAGATTGGCTGCCCCAGTGCCATTCCTGGTGCTTGGCTGCTGCTTGAGTCCAGATCTACTGCAGGTTGCTATGCACTGTAGTAAATGGCTGAGCTGTCTAGCTCTCTCTCTGAACTCCTGACTGGTGTGTGCTACTGTGGTTAGCCCAGTGTGTTGTAGTTTGAATTTAAACAAAGCTATATTAATTCAGACTTTAAGTGGAATATATTTAATCTCTAAACAAAGAATAATTGACCTTGTATGATGAGGCCTCCTTACCTCACTGCCCATTTGAGAGGCCTAGGGTTTTTGTTTTTTCAAGATATTAATTGAATATATTGGAGATTGTGATCCATGTTCAAGAACTTTCCATAGCAAAGTTGTTTGCTCAGGGCTGGATAGATGGCTCAGCTATCGAGAGCTTTGTCAGTTCACCAGAGGAATCGGTTAACTTGAGTTTCCTGGATCTAGTGTCTTCTGACCTGACACATTAGGCATGAACTTAGAGCACATACACACATGTAGGTAAACCACCCACACATCCAAAATAAAGAAAATCTAAAACCTTTCATAATGCTTGTATAGTAGCTGGAGAGACAGCTCACCCAATGCTGTCGCACAAGAACTGAGTTTGGTGTTTTTTAGTACTCGGCCTGTGCTGACACCTGCCTGTTCCTCTTGTTCTGTTGACCAAGGTTCCCGCAGTCGTTTAAGTCCCAAAGAAATCACACAGAGGTCTACATTAGTTATAAACTGATTGGCCCATTAGCTCAGGCTTATATAACTCTTATAACTTACATTAACCCATTATTGTTATCTGTGTTAGCCATGTGGCTGGTACCTTATTTGGCGGAGCAGTCACATCTTGCTTCCCCTGTGGCTGGCTGGGACAGGACTGCAGACTAGGACTTTGTTCTTCCCATAATTCTCCTGTTCTCATTGACCCGCCTCTACTTCCCTGTCTGGTTGTCCTGTTTATACTTCCTGCCTGGCTACTGACCAATCAGAGTCTATTTTAAAACTATTTGACAGAATACAGACAATTGTTCCACACTGTTGTAGATGCCCCTATGCCCCTCTGGCCTGTGTAGGCCCCCATGAGCATGTAGCATAAATTTAAGCAGACAGTCATAGAGCATGTTAATGTGCCTAATGTTCTTTCTTCCGGGCTTTCCTAGATTGAAGGACAAGGGCATGGAGCCGTGTTTGACTGTAAGTTCTCGCAGGACGGACAGCATTTTGCCTGTACAGACTCTCATGGGCATCTTCTGATATTTGGTTTTGGATGCAGCAAACCATATGAAAAGGTCATTCTTATGTTTCTTACAGCCTATGAATAGTTGGGAGAGGTAGTTTGGAAATAGTTATTTAATTTCCTGTTGTTTATAATTTTACATACCTTTAATACTGTTTGTAACAAATAAATATCTAAAAAATGTCATTCCATGATCTTTACTTTCCTAGATTCCTGATCAGATGTTTTTCCATACTGACTACCGACCACTGATACGAGATTCCAATAACTATGTCTTAGATGAGCAGACACAACAGGCACCTCATCTTATGCCCCCACCATTCTTGGTAGATGTAGATGGGAACCCTCATCCAACCAAGTACCAGAGATTAGTACCAGGTCGAGAAAACTCAGCAGATGAGCACTTGGTTCCACAACTAGGCTATGTGGCCACAAGTAAGTGCAAATTTTGTCTTTGTCTATGTGTCTGTCTTGTCTGTCTCTCTGGTTTCTCTATTTATCTCTGGCTTGTCTGTAATTTCCTATGTAGAATAGGCTGTCCTGCTTCAGTAGGAGTGCTAAGACTGCAGGCATGTACCTCTATACCTGGTCTCTGGGCCACCACCCAGGCGGCCGTGGGTTGTTCCAGACCTCAAGTGCCGCACAGTGTGTGCAGCTGAGTCAGAGGAGCTCCACAGGGAGCTTGTTTTTCTGTGACTTAGTACTCCAGTCTTTTTGCTTTTAATCCTTTTGTTAATAACCCATCTGTTGTATGTAGGGTATTTTCCTACTAGGTTATTTTTTTGAAAAGAAATTCATTGTAGTACTGTGTTTTTGTTTTCCTTAGTTCAGGGTACCTGGAGTCCAGGGTCTTGTTCATGCTGGGCAGGTGCTCCACTACTGAGCTTCATGCCCAGCTCTGTTGATGCGTTTTAGTGAAGATTTTAGTTTCTCTGCTCTCACATAACATGATTACAGAGTAGTGGATGACTTTGTAGGTGATGGAGAGGTGATTGAACAGATCATAAGCCTACAGACCAATGATGTTGGTGAAGCCAGCCCCGAATCCAGCATTCTTGATGGGATGATCCGGCAGTTGCAGCAGCAGCAGGACCAGAGACTGGGGCTGGATCAGGATGCGACTGCAAACGGAGTTTCACATGGGGAGGAGACTCCCCGAAGAGGGGGTGAGTGCCAGTGAGATATTTCATTTAACATGGTAGTACTGAAGCAAAGAGAGGTGAAGTCTTCGCTGGGTACATTCATTGCAAGAAACCAATGAGCAACATATTCTTGCACCTAGTGTTCTGAAAATTGTTAACTCAAAAAATGGAATGATAGTGGACTTGAGATTTTTCAAACTCTGAAAGGCTTTCAGCCTTCTCAGCTATAAGACTGAGTTTGTTTAAAAATGTATCACATGAGAGCAAACTGTATCTTTAAGGGGAAAGTACGTTCAGCCTTCCCTTGCTTTGCCATTCACGTCTTTCCAGAAACTTACTGGAGTGGAGACTTACTCTCTTCTAAATCAGCATTTCAGGATGAGCTTGGAAGTAAGTCTCCACTCCAGTGTTGATGTGTCTATTAGGTTGCCATCTTAACAATCATAGTTGCAAGTCCACAGTTTTTTGCACCTTTCCTTTTGTCCTAATCTAGGAATCACTGCATACTGATGAGTTGGTTTTCTTTTCTTTTCCAAGACAGGGTTTCTCTATGTAGTCCTGGCTGTCCTAAAACTCACTCTGTAGACCACATTGGCTTCGAACTCAGAGATCCACCAGTCTCTTCCTTCCAGTACTGGGATTAAAGATGTGTGTTACATCTTTAATATTTAATATAGGTATTTATATGTAAGGTGTGTTCTTTGGGGCAGTTTAGGCGACTTATGGCAACATAGTGCTTTTAGCTCATAGTTGGTTGCCCTGTCTCCTGGCCTCTAGCTGAAAGTTTCACTGCAAACTGTGCCATCACCTGTCACATTCCACTCCCAGTGTCCAGGCATTGTCCATAGAATTTCTTATGTGTAGTTTATCACTATTTATTACTAACGTGTCTGTGTTGAATGCATGCCATGCCACGCTCTTGTGCATGTATGCTTATGCATATGTGTGTGAGTACCCATGGAGGCCACAAGAGGGCCAGAGTTAGAGTTAGTTGTGAGCTGCCTGACACGGGTGCTGGGATCTGAATTTTAGGTTCTCTCGGAGCACATTTCTCTTATGTGTGTGTATGTGTTGACCTGTTTGAGTGTTTGCCTTTTGTGTTTAAGTGCTTGTGGGACCCAGAAAAGAGGGTTACCAGTTCGAGCCACCTTGACATGGGTGCTAGGAATTAAACTCTTGACGAACACCAAGTGCTCTTAACTGCTGGGCCATCTTTAGCCCTTTGTGGGAATTAAATAAAAAAAATATTGTTGAAATTATACTAACTTGTATGTATGTCTGTGTGAGAGTGTTTGTGCTGTGGTGTGTGTCTCACAGAGGCCAAGATGCCCTGAAGGTGGAGTTGAGGTTGTTGACATTTGCCTGCCTGGTTGCCCAGGTCATAGCATTGTTCTTTTTGTGTAGCCATCCCAGTTGGGGAGGGGGCGTACATCCTTAACAAAGGCTTTCCTTAAAGTTCAAACTGAAGTTTATCAATTAATGTTAAGTATTCTTCAGTGTGTCAAAATTTTTCTTCTTGCAAGTTACTTTTATTATGTTTACTTTCCCTGATTTGGGGTATGTGTCCTACTAAGAAGAATTCCCTCCCTCCCCCTCTGTCTCCCTGTCTCCCTCCCTGTCTCTCTCTGTCTGTTTTGAGGCAGGGTTTCACTCTTGCTCTGTAGACCAGGCTGACCTTGAACTCTGCCTCTGAGTGCTGGGATTACAGGTGTTACACCGCCATCCTTCCACCTGGTGGAAGAATGCATTTTTGTTGTATTGTCTTAAGGTTTCTATTGATGTGAAGAGATGCCAAAACCATGACAGCTTTTATAGGAAAGCATTTAATTGGGTGGCCTACATTGTTAGAGGTTCAGTCCATTATCACGTTGGACATGGCGGTATGAGGGCAAAAATGGTGCTAGAGAAGGAGAGGAGAGCCCTATGTTTTGACCTGCAAGCAACACAAGTAAACTGCACATAGCTTGAGTAAAGGAGACCTCGGCGCCCACCCCACAGTGACACACTTCCTCCAACAAAGTCACACCTCCTAAAAGTGCCACTCTCTTGTGGGGCCATTTTCTTTCAGATCACCACATGTTAAGTGAAAAATAATTTTGAAATAGTTTCTAACTAATTTTCTGATATTTTTTTCTAGGTTTTAGAAGACCGAGTTTAGACATTCAGTCTCCTCCAAATATCGGTCTCCGCCGGAGTGGACAGGTTGAAGGTGTTCGTCAGATGCATCAGAATGCTCCCCGGAGTCAGATTGCCACAGAGCGTGACCTGCAGGCTTGGAAGCGGAGAGTGGTTGTTCCAGAGGCACCACCAGGCCTGTTCAGGTCTGTTGAAGGATGTGCTCTTAGCTGTCGGATGTTTTCATGTCGTTATCTACACACCTTGTAGTAGAAACAGCCATTTAAGTATATTTCAGTAATGCATGAGTATCTATTTTAACTGTGGAGAGGACTCAGAATTTAATTTCCCAGCCTGTTACATAGTGAACTATGTCATTGCCAGTTTTGTTTCATCTCCGAAGTTGCCGTTTCTCCTTCAGCGTCATTTAGCAATAAAGACACATAATGTCTTCTTTGGTAATTTAGCATATGTTCCTAAAAGTCAACAGTATTTTCTCTACGACATCATTAAACACACACAGTTCTCCATATAACCAAAGGTTTAGTCAGTTTTGAAGTCACCAGCGGTTTGCAAGGCTGGTGTAATGTAATTTATCATGTAATAAAAATCATAACATGTTTTTATTCTGTCAGCACCTATAAATGCTACATTCATCGATTAGGTAATAATGCAATCAGGGTCTTTTTGTTTCGTTTGTCATGGGTACTCCTTTGTTTTGGCTTTTTGAGATGCGGTTTCTCTGTATAGCTTTGGAGCCTGCCCTGGAACTCACTCTCTAGACCAGGCTGGGCTTAAAGGTGCATGCCACCATTGCCTGGCTGTCATGGGTACTCTTAAAAGAGAGGTTTCCTCTTAATAGTCTTTTTTTTTTTCTAAATATTCGTTTATTTATTTATTATATATACAATATTCTGTCTGTATGCCTGAAGGCCAGAAGAGGGCGCCAGACCTCCTTACAGATGGTTGTGAGCCACCATGTGGTTGCTGGGAATTGAACTCAGGACCTTTGGAAGAGCAGTCAGTGCTCTTAACCACTGAGCCATCTCTCCAGCCCTCCTCTTAATAGTCTTGATCATGCAGTTGTAACAGATCTGTAAAAAGCTGGACATGTTCTTGATTCATTTTTTTTCTTCTTTCAGTTTTGTTTTAATTTAGATTTTTAATTAATACAAAAGTCCAGGCTGGAGTGGTGGCTCATTGGTAAGAGCAGTATCTGCTCTTCTAGAGGGACCTGGGTTAGCTTCCCAGCATCTCATACTGGCTCACAGCCCTCTGTAACTCTAGTTCCAGAGAATCAGATGTGGTACACACGCATAACTGTAGGCAAAACACTCATGCCCTCCACCATTTTATTTTATTTTTTAGTGTTCCTTCAAAGTCAGTTTTTGTTCCTTGTACATTGTTACATAGGCAGCATGGTTAAGACACCAGCCTTTCTACATTGAGACATTACAAACATCAAGCCAGATATTTCGGTAGTGTTCAAGTTAGAATCACGGTACCTTAAGTCTGTTCCACAGAGAAGACACATGCTATTTTTTTAACTTCATTGTAACACACTCCCCACTTTAACGTTCCCCTACTCCAGTCATGTCCCGTGCAGTGTCAGTGATGTGCACACAGAAATGAGCAGCAGTGCTGCGTTAGTGTGGGGTACAGAGCATGGAGTCGAATCATTTGCATAGGAACATGTTGCTTTCACTTTTATTTGCATAAAGGAAGTGTAAGCCTTGAAAATGATGGGAGACACTTGGGAGCACTGAAATAGGATATCCTGTTGAAGTGGTCCTGATAGAACCACTTCAAGTTAATGAGTGCTTTTGTATTTAGTGAGTAGGTTTCACTGAGATTTTGTTTTTAGTGATATTAAAAAGTAAAAAAAAAACAAAAAAACATGTACAGTTCTAGGCAGTTTGAAGTATGTCTCAGGTAGGACCTCACCTCCACAGCCTGAGTGAGCCTTGACTTTGAGGGCCTCCATGTGATGGAAAGAGTCACTATGCCAGCTGCATGTTTATGAGTTTAATCATTTCATGTATCTTTTAAAGGTTTATGAGTTGTTTTTAAAATTGTAGTGATTGACTATTTATATCAGTCCCAGAGCCTGTAACCACATACTTAATTTTGTAGGCGATTGGAAGATTTTCGCATTGAGAAAGGCGAAGAGGAGAGAAACCTGTATGTGATAGGGAGGAAAAAGAAGTCTTTCCAGCTCTCACCAAAGGTACTTTGACTCTCCTACCACAAAATTAACATTCAGTGTTCTTTGTGGTGTATAAAGATGTCAGTTGCTCACCGGGCGGTGGTGGCACATGCCTTTAATCCCAGCACTCGGGAGGCAGAGGCAGGCGGATCTCTGTGAGTTCGAGACCAGCCTGGTCTACAAGAGCTAGTTCCAGGACAGGCTCCAAAACCAAAACCACAGAGAAACCCTGTCTTGAAAAAACAAAAACAAAACAACAACAACAAAAAAATGTCAGTTGCTCTTTAAAAATATGGTGTTAATAGCTTGAGATCTGTGGTTGGGGACTTAAAGCCATTATAGAACTGTTGATTCTCAGTATACGGTTCTGTAGCACTAAAGCATCCTTTGACAGTGTCCAGTGACCATCCGTCAGGATCCCTCTCGTCCCTTCCCAGCTGCTGTCTGCTCTGTCACAGCTTGTGTAGCTGCCATGCGAGCTCTTGGAGCTCCAGCAGTCTCAGTCACATACTGTCTTGGTTCGTGCCCCTCTAAAGCTCAGTTGCTGGAATTTTTTCTTATTTTTGGTGGTGGTGGTAGTGGTGGTTGGATGGGTCATATAGTGTCTCAGTTAACAAAGCTCTGTCTCAGATAAGCTGTATAGCCAAGGATGACTTTAAATTTTTGACAGCTTTTTTTAAAGTTTATTTTATTGCGTGTGTCTTTGTCAGCTGCAGTTCTAGGAGGGTGGTAAGACACTTGGCATGGGTGTGGAGACTAGAAGATGTTGGGTCACCTGGACCAATGCCTGGCGTGGGTGCTGGGAGTCGGGCTCTAGTCTGTGGCGCATCAGCACATGCTCATAACCACGGAGCCCTCTTGAGCGCCTCCACCTCCTGCACCATGAGGCTTTATATTACCAGATAAACATTGAAAATAGTTGTTACTGGTTGACTGTTGTTTGTAACTATTAGGTATTGACATTGTGATAATGTTTAAGGTTGATTAGTGATCCATATGTAGATATGGATCTATATATGAATATGAATCCATATATATATATATATATATAAAACCTCTTTTTTTATATTTATCCTTGCGTAGCCAAAGATGCTGTGAGTTGCTAATTCTCCTCCCTCTGTCTCTTGAGGGCTGGGATTACACAGGTGTGTGCCAGTACCCCCAGGTATATGGGATGCTGGGGATTGAACCTTACTGAGAGTTGTACTTGCTAAGTGAGTATTTACCAACTTACTCACACCCCAGCCTGTGAAACCCTGTTCATTGTCGATTTATGTCATTAATGGTAACACGGTAACTTACAAGTTAGTATATGAAAGGTGAGTAACTGGCTTTTTTAAGCTCTCTGAGGAATTAGAAGTAAAAAACAACTCAGAGTAAACAGTATTTAGCAAAATTATTTTTAATCTTTGTTTCTTTCATGCCATTTGTAGTTAACTCCATTCAATGCCCATTTTGTTGATAATGCTCATGTTTCTTTATGTTTTAGTCAGATTCAGTGGTTTTAGTGTCCCAGTCTAGACAACGAACTTGTAGGCGTAAATACGCAAATTATGGTAGAAGAAGTGCTGGCCGGTGTGAATTATCTTCTGGAAATGAATCTTCAGGCTCTGTCAGACATGTGAGTAGAAGCACTTTGTAAAGACCATCATACACGTGCGCTTGTGTTCTGGTGTTAGGTGTTGAGCTAGGCATGATAGGCATGGTAGACATGGTAGGTCTGGACATAGTAAGTGTACTGGGAGGTCAGCTCAGTGTGATCTGACAGGCAGGCCTTGCATAGGGAGTCCTCCTGTCTACCACATGGTACCTGACAGCAAGCTTGCCTTTTTTTTTTCTTATAATTTTTATTTTTATTATGTATACAGAGTTCTTCCTGCATGTACCCTGCAGGCCAGAAGAGGGCATCAGATCTTATTACAGACAGTTGTGAGCCACCATGTGGTTGTTGGTGGGAATTGAACTCAGGACCTTTGGAAGAAGAGCCAGTGCTTTTTACCTCTGAGCCTTCTCTCCAGCCCCAGCAAGCATATTTTATTCCCTGAGTCTTTTTTTCTGGTGGCATGGTTTTAAGATAGGATATCTTTGGCCCTGGCTGTCCTGGAACTAGCTTTGTAGACCACACTGACCTTGACTTGCAGAAACCCATCTGTCTCTGTCTCTGGCTGCTGGAATTGAAGGCGTGTGCCTGGCCTGAATTAATTCTTGACTTTGAATCTAATTCGCATTTATATAAAAGTGACACATAGATGATGATTACATTTCACATGTTTTGGTTTTGACTTTTGGTTGGGTGTTAGAGAAAAGAACCATGTTTTGCTGTGTCTTAGAGGCTGCCTAGAGTTCCTGAACTCGGGCAACTCTCTACCAGGTGTCTGAGATGACAGACATAGCCTTTAATCTGGCTTTCTGTTTGTGTTTCTATCGTGGTTTGAGGTAGGCTCTCAATGTGTTTCCAGGCTAGCCTTCCTATTCTTTGCCTTTTATCCTTTCTGCATGCTAACATGACAAGCACTTTCTGTCATGTCTGGCTGAGAGTCTTGTCTTCTCTGGTTTTTCAAGACAGAGTTTTTCTTAGTCATAGAGACCCATCTGCCTCTGCCTCCAGAGTACTAAGATTAAAGGCTACCACCACCTGATTTCCTGGCTGAGATTTTTATAATTAGTTTTATCAAAATCACATATCACATGTACACGTGATATAAGAATATATAAACATTGTTATCATTAAAGTACCATGTATTTATTTTCTCCAGCCTGCACTACGTTACCTGTTTCCTGTTTCTGCATTTGGGTATTCTGGAATCAAACAGTGACTTTGGTGCTGATTTTTCTGCGTTTTAGCATGTAACATAATACTTGCATGTATAAAACATTGGAAATATAGTAATGTATGGCTGTACACCTTATTTTGTTTCTCCGTTTCTCAGCTGATGGATATTTGGTTTGTCTATGCTTTCCAGCTATTTGTATGTTCATCACTGGCATTCATCTACAAATTTCTAGGACGACTAATGCCTAAACCCCTTGATGTTCCATCCTTGATTATGAGCTCAAACTCTGCATCTGTACACCCTATGCTATCAACTTTTACTTATGCTCCCTCACGGCCAGAGGGTGGCCTGTTCTGGTTTCCATTTTCATCTGTCCAATCTCTAGAAAGTTAAAGGTACTTTTCTTCACTTTCAAAGTATTTCTCAGTCTTTGGAGTCTGATTTGTAGCTTGTTTTTAAATTGACTTTTCTGCTGTCTGTGCTATTCATATAGGCTAGGAATGTCCTTTACCAGATGAGAATCATTCTTGGCGTTCTGTGGTTTTGTTTTTCCAGTGGGTGTGTATCTTGGTCTTTGAAATAAGGTTGTCAGATTTGTTAAGTATTTTTATGCATTGAACCATTTTGCCAGCTCTGTGAAATTTTTTTGTTGGTTTGATTTTTAAAGCCAGCCTCTGCTGTATTCCAGGCTTGTCTCATGCTGGCATTTGACATCCTTGGCTCAGAATGCCATTTCAGGCCTGCCCCTTTGCTACAGTGATGTTGAGGATGTCATCCAGGGGTTCCTGCTCTAGGCCAGCATTCTTCAACTGAGTTAGATCCCCCGCCTGTGAAAACAGCAGTAATCAGAGCATAGCTGCCCAGACTGACTTCAGCCTCTTGAGTACCTGGAACTTTAGAGCCTGTGCCCCATCTGGTTTTCACACATACTGTTTCTCTTCACATTGAAGCCTTTCTTAGGACATCAGTTGGAACCATAGGTTGTATTGTCTTCCATTTCAGCTGTCTTCCTGCCGTTTGTAGCACACATTGACACATTTTGTCTGTCTTCTTTTGGCTCGATAGCTCATTTATTTTTTGCAATAGTCTACTATTCCCCTTATTTGAAGGTAACACTTTGGTGAATGAGTTTTGAGAATTATGGTGCAGACCATAAGCATCTTTGCAAGTTGTTGGGAATTTTATAGACTGCTGCTTCAGGAGCTTCTCTGAAATCCAGGGAAAGTGACTATACTTGTTTGCTTTCTCACTAACCTCAAAGGTGCATCCCTGTTGGCTCACATCCTTTTCAGGATGTTCTGTCGTTGTCTTATATTCAGTAAGATTCTAGTCAAAACCCAGCAAGTTACTTTTGTAGATATTGGCAAACCGCCTTTTTTTCAAAAAAAAAAATTAATTATATAGAAAGAAGGAAAATCCAGGAAGCTAACATAAAATTGCAGAAGAGCATAATTAAAGACTGATCACGGTGTCATTGTGACTTATTATAGTGTAGTTTTCAAGACAGTGGTGCTGGGGGAAGAAGAGACAGTCCAGGAAACATGGTCCCAAACAAATCAGTTGTCACCTGGTTGCCAGCACAGACAACTCAGTGTTCGGGTAAATACTGTGTAATAGCTGGACATATGCATTTCCACAAAATCACCCTGCAGTTATTCTTTCCCATGAGCTCACTCAGTCTGCCTGGTGGTAGGTGCTTATATTGCTGATCCTCAGGCCCTGACTGGGGAGAAGAAACAGCTCTAATCAGTCACAAGCTCTGAATGTCAATATAAAAAAAGAGTTTAAAATTTGTAGATACTGAAGATATAACAGCGGTGTCTTCAGAGACAGGAATGTTATTTTACAAGCAGTCTGCACATTATTAACTGTGGCTGAATTGAAATTTCAGAATTGCTTCAGAAAGGGTAAAACCACACAGTGGGAAAACTATTTGAGAAAAAAACTTGTATTCAGTGTACATGAAGAGCTGTTGAAGCAGAGCAGTAGGGAAAACAGTCGGTTTTCAAGTGGGAAAGCATCTAATAGTGGCTTTGTTAGTAGGGAGACATAATGGGAAAACTACTGGTCATTTCGTCTCAAGGGTTAAAATCAGACAGCACTCAGATTACCTCAGTCCAAATCACAGAGCCCAGATCATGGTCCATCATTTCCCTGACTATGGTGACTGTCACAAATCCTCTTTGGAAAATACCTTGATAAAAATAAGGATTTAGAAGCTAGGCCTGGGGATGGAGAGATGGCTCAGTGGTTAAGAGCACTTGACTGCTCTTCGAGAGGACCTGGATTCAATTCCTAGCACCCACACAGCAGCTCACAACTGTCTGAAATTCTGGTTTCAGGGGACCTGACATCCATGGCAAAACACTAGTGCACATAAAATAAAAAGAAATAGAAGCCCTGCCTGGCGGTGCGTACCCATGACTCCAGCAGTGTCAGGAGTCTAAAACCATTCTCTGCTACTCCGTGAGTCGGAGGCCAGTTTGAACTACCAGACCTCCTCTCAAAAAGCCCTTCAGTGGTTTAGTAAAAGTGGCATGCCTTCTATGTTTTATCTAGTTACATTTCTACTAATTTGAGTTTTTTATTCTCAATGCTAGTCTTGTAGGGATGTCAACAGTTTTATGACACAAAGCCTATGGGATCAAAATTTGTCTTTTCCCTTCCCAATCTAGGAGACTTCTTGTGATCAGAGTGAAGGCTCTGGTTCTTCAGAGGACGAGTGGAGAAGTGACAGAGGAAGTGAGAGCGACAGTGACAGCTCAAGGTACCGCCCTCCTTTGCGTCTCACAAGAATTGAGTTGTTGCCTTGGGTCCAAACTCTGTTGATTCTGGTTAACACTAGACTAGCTCTGGAGTGCTCTACCATGTGCTTAGGTGTGCATACTGAAGATGTTAACTTAACCTCAGGCCACATTTAAAATGAGTGTTCGATCCAAGTGTGTGTGCAACCTTATGTATTTATTACTAAATGTTTTTAGAATGTCTTTAATTAGGACTCAGGTTTCAGTATGATTTTAAGCCTCCATTTTTCTCATATTACTTTACACAAAATTTTTAGTCATGCCCAGATGGTTTACCATATCCATAGTACACAGGTCATCTAGCGTTTCGTGACTTTTTGTATGGTGCATTATTCCTTTAAAACGTTCTGTGAATTGTGCAGCATCCATAACATAAAATATTATCTATAGCTAGGCGGTGGTGGACCACACCTTTAATCCCAGTACTCAGGAGACAGAGACAGACAGATCTCTGAGTTTGAGGCCAACCTGGTCTACAAAACGAATTCTAGGACAGCAAGGATTGTTACACAGAGACAACCCTATCTCGGAAAAAACAAAACTAATTACGTTGTGAAGCACTTGAGGTGCAGCAGAGTCCTCATTTCTTGCTGTGTGGTGAAACTGCTGTGGGCTGAGAGCTTCTCTTACAGGCCTACTTCTCTGCTCTGACTTGTTTACACTCCCGGGGTGCAGCTCTTGCTAACCCTTTGCTCCATTCGTAGCATGTCATAGGGTCAGCCCTTTGGAAGAATCTATCACTTTCTTTTTGGGATTGAGTTGCTTCCCTTGGTGTCTCCATTGGTGGCTTGTAATGCAAGGTGGAATTTAGGAACCAGTATCTACCAGTGTCTTGGAGGCGGTGGGGCTCTTTGTTCTCTGTAATACATTTTAGCATTGCTTTGCTTTCTGAGAGGGAAGTTATCATTTGGCTGTAGTCCTGACTTTTCATCAGCTCTCATTCAGAGGGTACTTGCCAAATAAAAAGGCTGGAGGTGTTGCTCTGATGGTAGAGTAATTGCCAGGCACAAAAAAATTAGAAGCTCCCTTAAGAGTTAGCTTAGGTTGCTGTTAAACCAAAACATTCTAATGCTAGGCAGTGGTGACGCAGTTTTAATCCCAGCACTCCAAGGCAGAGGCAGGCGGATCTCTCTGAGTTTGAGGTCAGCCTGAGTTCCAAGACAGCCAGAGATAAAGAGAAATCTTGTCTCAAAAAAACAAAAATAAACAAAAAAAAAACATTCCAAGTGCTTACCTTCTTCTCATTGTTGGTAAATCAATCTTTCTTTTCTGTCTTTTTCTTCGTTTCCCCTTCCCTTTCCCTCCCTCCATCCCTCCCTCCCTCCCCTACTTCCTTCCGTCATTTTATGTGTAAGTTTATTCCCTGAATGTGTGTCTGGGCACCATGTATGTGTCTATTACCTAAGGAGGCCAGAAGATGGCATTAAATCTCCAGGAACCGAAGTCCCTAACAGCTGTGAGCCACCATGTTGGTGCTGGGAATTGAACACTGGTCCTGGAAGAGTATCCAGTGGAACCATCTCTTTAGCCCTGGTGAAAATTTCTTTCTCCATCTTGGTTGTGAACTGTGGTCTGTTGGTCTTTGCTGGTAGTGTGAGCAGGATGTTTAAATTCACCTAGGCCCTTCATTTTCTTCTCTCCATGCTCACCCTTCATTCCCTCTGGGTCTACTCTGAACTTGCTGTTATGCTTCCATTCTGGTCCTGTGTAATTTAAAACGTTGTGTTCTTGCAGTGACTCTTCGTCTCGGTACTCTGATTGGACAGCTGACACAGGAATCAACTTGCAACCTCCATTAAGGATGTCGTGTCGCCGCCGGGTAACCCGGTTTTGTAGTAGTTCAGAGGATGAGATGTCTACGGAGAACATATCTCCTCCAAAGAGAAGGCGGAAAAGAAGGAAAGAAAGCAAGCCTAAAAGGGAGGTAGGAAAAACAAACCTAAAGATATTGTGTGCCTCTGTTCATACGCTGTTTTTTTTTTTCTGGTTTTGCTTGTTTGCACTACTTGTCTTTTTCTATAGTTCTCTTTTCTCTTGGTGCTGGGATTCAACTCAGGCCCTCAAACCTCACACCGAGGTGAACTCTGCACTGCGTTAGTGAAGCTTGAAGGATGTGCAGAGTCACTCTCTCCACAGAGCCTGCCTTCTTCAACAAAGCTCCACTGCTTCCCGGCTCCGGCCTGGCTCTTGTGTTTAGTTCACCTTTCCTTGAGCTTTATTCTTGTGAACAAAGAAAAAAGGTTATCCTTTTTATAGCTATCTGGGGATCTGTTGCAAAGGAGTAAAGAGAAACATTCTGGAAGAAGTAAGGTTCTGCTGTCCTGAGTAGTGTTGATATAGTTTAGAGTGGAGCCTGACTTTGCTACCAGGAATAAAGTTGATGTGTTTTGAACATACCTTTCTCCTGCCTCTTGTTGCGTTTGTTTGTTTTGGTTTTAGTTTTTTGTTGTGTTGTGTCCCCTCCCCCACAGTGGTTTCTGTGTGTAGTAGTCCTGACTGTCCTGGAACCGTCACTCTGTAGCCCAGGCTCCTCTCAAACTCAAGAGATCTGATGTCCTTTGTCTCTCAAGTGCTGGGGTTAAAGGTGTGCACTGTATGCCATCACTGCCCAGCTCTTCTTGACACATTCTATTTTATATACATGTCTTCATCTTATGGCTGTAGTAATGCTTTATTTCTTTAGTTCATGCCATTGTCATCATTTAAAGATGTCAAATTTTGTTTTTGTTTTTTCTTCCTGTGTAACAGATTCCCTTAGGTGTAAGATTTCACTTAAGTGTAAGAATGAGTATTTCTTACTTTGGGTCCGGAATGTGTTCCTGAGTTACAGGAACCTAGTCCCCTCAGCGAGCTGCTGACAACATGCTGTCTGATCTTCCCCTGAGCCACTATCCAATAGTAAAACTAAAGTTACACCTTAATGCTTCTGTGCCCCAAGCTGCATACTGTTGATTTAGGCCTCTTTGTTGGCAAAGTGAGTTACTGAGTCTCAGCTGAGCTCAAGAAGAGAAGTATGGAGAACTTGTTTTGAAGAAGCACCAGGCTTGAAAACCTTACAAGAGAAGAAGTTCAGTTGGTCCCTTGTTTACCTACCATGCTTGAACCCCTAGTTCTATCTCTAGCACACATAGGGTAGGCATAGTGTTGACATTCCTGTAACCCCAGCACGCAGGAGGTTAAGGTGGGAAGATGAGAAGTTTAGAATCATCCTTAGCTTAGCTATGTACTGAGTCCAAGTCCATTTTGGGATACATAAAATCTCTCAAAATTCTAAAATACAAAAGAAGATTCTTAATTATTACTAGGCTCTGTTCAAATTCAGAGTGGAGTCTCAGTAGAATAGCTTGTGCCTAGAAGATGTTTAGTGTAACATAAGGGCATGGGGATGAGGGAGCCCTAGGCTGGGTTTAGGTAGCTCCACAGTGATTTTAGAAGCTACAGGTAAGTGGAGGACTAGAGCCAGGCACTTTTCATAATTTTTTAGAAGGCAGTACATGCTTGTGTATTGAGCCAGACAAAATGACTTTGAATAGTGAAGTATTTGTTTTTCAATTAAATAGCGTATCTTGCCCCTTTCATACCAGGCTTTATTGTCTCCTCTTGGCAGAGTTTGCGAAGGACGACTCCAGCAGAGCTAGCAGATGCGGAGCATTTGTACGAGTTTCACCCTCCTGTGTGGATAACTGACACGGCACTTCGCAAGTCTCCCTTTGTTCCTCAGATGGGTGACGAGGTGAGAGCAGAGGCCGCCCAGGGAGTGTGCGGGGAAGCCAAGCTCTTGCTGCTCCGTGGCTTCCTAGTAAACAAACGCTTCCCTTTGCAGGTGATATACTTCCGTCAGGGTCATGAAGCTTACATTGAAGCTGTCAGAAGAAATAATATCTATGAGCTGAACCCTAATAAGGAGCCATGGAGGAAGATGGATCTCAGGGTAGGCCATTGTTAGAACCTAGTGCATAGTTTCTGTAGGATGTTCATGCAGGGGGCAGATGGGTGAGAGAGGGCTCCATGTCCCTCATGGTAGAATGAGAAAACCCACTTCTACATGCATTGCTTTGACCTTTACATGGGCAGCTTGGCACATGCATGTGTACAAGTAATAAATACATACAGTAAGTGCAAAAAAAAGTGAAATTCATAGTATAAGTCAAGAAAATGTCAGATTATTGACTGGTTATCTTGTACTGATCCCCGAGCCACTCCAGAATTCCTTAGACTTCTGGCGAGTACACTGACTGCCGTCGTGGGTGTTTCTGTGTGAGGTGTCTGTCATCTGGAGAGGGGAAGGATAATTGCAGTCACTGGCAAATTACACTGTGTCTGTAATCCCAGGTTAGGAGCTGGCTAGTCCAGCAGTAGTACATAGAGAAGTACAGGAGTGATAAATTGACGTTTAAGAAAGAAAATAAAATTTCTAAATAAATGTTTATTACAGGATCAAGAGTTGGTCAAAATAGTTGGAATAAGATATGAGGTTGGACCACCAACGCTCTGTTGCCTCAAACTAGCATTTATAGATCCGGCAACTAGTAGACTTACAGATAAATCTTTCTCCATTAGGTATGTATTATATTTCTGTGGAATTACTTAAATGTAGATTTTACATTTTGCTGATTAGTAGGCCATTCCCCTTTAGCTGCATCATGCATGTAGACCCATGGACAGGTCTGCCAGGGAGCAGTTAAGCAAGGGGTTTGCTGTGTGAGGGACTTCCATGATGCTCACCCAGGCAGATTAGAGCCTAAGCGGGGATTGGTTACACGGGAGTAGTAGATGTACTGATTTAAGTTGAGGACACACTGCACTGTGCTGTTTGGAGACTGAAAAAGAAGACAGGATCCTCACCATTTGGGTAGGAACCTGCCTATCTCTGCCTTCCTAGTGTTTGGATGATAGGCACGTGGCACAACTGGCTTGTGCATGGATACAGGCCATCAGAACTCAGATCCTTACTTTGCCCTGAAAGCACGTTTGCTAACTGAGCCGTCTCTAGTCCTTTGTTATCTTCTCTACATAAGTTAGACGGGCCCGGGAGGATGGCCCAGCTAGAAAGTCTGAGGTCCCCAGTGCTGGGCAGAAAGAGACAGGTGCTTGGTACTCACTGGTCAGTGAAATCCAGCCTGCTGGTAACCTGCAGACCAGTGACAGCCTGTCAGGAGGACTGGTGGTGGCATTTGGGGATGATGACACTCCACCCTTGTGTGCACATGTCCTAAGGAGCTTGAAATGACAGAGTGCTTGTGCCTTTTGAACACTGTTGCTTTCTACTGTGGTAATTTTCAATTTTCTTTTAGATATCACGATATGCCAGATGTTATCGATTTTCTTGTGTTGCGTCAATTTTATGATGAAGCAAGACAGAGAAACTGGCAGCCTTGTAAGTCTGTCCTTACTGAATTCTGTGGAGTACGAAACCATTGAGCTGCTCTCTAGATAGAGTACTTTTAACTACGGTTTACACAATCTCTGGAAGCATAAGTGGCCTTTAAATATATTGGCTTAGTACTTGTGCTGATCGGTACCTATTTTGTGTAGACTTTTTAGCCTTGCAATATTGCTTCTGCTTATGGTGTTTGGGAATAATTGTTCTGTTATATATTAATAATATTGATATTTTAGAGGCAGGGTCTGTCTTTGGAGCTCTGGTTGTCCTGGAGCTCAAAGAGCTCTACCTGCCTTTGTTTCTGCCTCTTGAGGGCTGTGATTAAGGTGTGCAGCACCACACTGGGTCGTGTGTAATTGTCCTTGACGTAATGCTTGTGTAAGTTGTTCTTTTATAGGAGTTAAAACGGTGGTTCTCAGCCTGTGGTCACAGCCTCTTTGGGGTCGATTGACTCTTTCACAGATACCGAATATCAGATACCACATCACTATTCTTAACAGTAACAAAATTACAGTTAAAAAGTAACGAGAATAATTTTATGGTTGGGGATAACCACAATATAAGTAACTGTATTAAAGGGTGACAACATTAGGAAGGTTGAGAAGCACTGATTTAAAACAATCTAATTGTTAAAAAATAATTACAGAAGCCAGGCGACTATTGGGAACCGTCTCAAAATCCCTTTACAAAGATCTACTTTCTTCCTGTTGAATTATTGTTAGACAGTAGAACTGATTAGTGGCTATGTAGTTCTTTTAAACAATAATACATTTTTAGTGCTTGAGTATTTTCAGACCTGGTTTTTAACCTTTTCTTTTAAACTTTATTTTGTGCATTTTAAGTGTGTATGTGTCAGTGAGAGCATGCCATGTGGCTCATATGCAGGTCAGGACTTCGGGAAGGCTGTGATCTTCTGTCATAAGAGTCCCTAAAGATTGAACTCAGGCAGGCATAGTGGCCTGCGTCTTTATTCCTTAACCTATTTCACTGGCTGCAGACCCCATTGCTCATGAGATTTGTAAGAATTTTCAGCGTATGTTCATGTTGTTTGTAGAGGGAGACTGCACTTTAATTTCCTGCCCACCCAGACCTGAATAATCACACAGAAACTGTATTAATTACAACATTGTTTGGCCAATGGCTTAGGCATATTTCTAGCTAGCACTCACTTTATCTTATATTTTATATTTTACTACAAGGCTCATAGTTTGTTACCTCATATCTTGCTTCTTGGGTGGCTATATGGCATCTCCTTGACTCCGCCTACTTTTTATCTCTGGATTTTCTGCCTGGCTTTACTCTGCTAAACCATTGGCCAAAACAGCTTTATTCATCAACCAATGAAAGCAACATATTTACATAAGGACACCCCATACCAGTTGTATTTTATAGTGACAACTGCAATCGTAAGACGACTAATAGCTATTAAAATTTTCCTGCAGATTTTTTAGAATATTTCATAAATTTCTCAAGTGTATTTTAGTTGCACCCAGAGAATTTCTCTCTCTCTCTCTCTCTCTCTCTCTCTCTCTCTCTCTCACTCATCATGTTGATCGAGCACAGGGACTTAGCACCCTCTGTGATATACCCAGAAGGCTAGACTTTGAATTTCTTAAACTTTGCACTTGATCTCTGTTCTTCATGTACTATGTATGATATTTCATAGGTAGAAGGTGTCCATAATGGTAGCAGACGCACACCTCAGACTTGATCACTTCTCTTATAGGTGACAGATTTCGATCTATTATTGATGATGCTTGGTGGTTTGGAACTGTGCTGAGTCAAGAGCCGTATCAACCGCAGTATCCTGACAGTCATTTCCAGTGTTACGTTGTAAGGTTTGTATTTGTATACAGAGAGAAACTGTTTGCTGATTCAGATCACCGTGTGACTGACATGATTTAGGGTCTGTGTATTTTGCGCCATTGAGTCAGTGACCTCCAGTATGTCTCCGAGACCTGCAACACACCTTGCTGTCTAATATTCCCGAGACACAGGTCAGCATTGATACTGTATTAATATTCACAAAAACCTTCACCTCACCCACTAGCTGGCTATAGGATAAAAAAGTCTGGCGTTCAAGCTTTAACACTGACTGTGCTTCCCTTACTCTGAGGGCAGGTTGCTTAGGAGTTCTGATGTTTTAGTAAACCTTAAATTAGTTATTTTTCCATGTGGATATTTTGCCTGCATGTACCATATACATGACTGGTACCCTTCAGAGGCCAGAAAAGGGCGTCAGATCCTTCAGAATTGGATTTGCAGATAGTGGAGCTGGGAATCTAACATTTGTGCTCTGTTAGAGCAGCCAGTGCCCCTAACCCCTGAGCTATCTCTTTAGCCCCTCGCATAAACACTTTTTTTTCTTTTTTTGAGATAGGGTCTATCTATGTCATCCTTCCTATTCTAGAACTTGTTATGTAGACCAGGCTGGCCCTCGAATTCGAGATCTGCCTGCCTTTGCCTTCCAGGTGCTGAAGTTAATAACATGTACCACTATACCTGGCTACACTTTGTTTGTTTTGAAACAGCTCTGGCTGTATTGGAATCCCTTTTGTAGACCAGGCTGGACTCGAACTAAGAGATCCCCCTGCCTCTGCCTCCCTAATGCAGATTTAAAAAGGTGTGTGCTGCTACCACCTGGCCTTTCTCAATTTTTTAATACTAATGTTGGAAACGTAATTCCTGCAGTTAGACTAATTTTTGGTATTTCTTTTGTGATGTCTTGCTATTCTGTACGGTTTGTTTTTGGGAAAGGTAACTAATGCTTCCTGTTTGTTAAACAGGTGGGACAATACTGAAATTGAAAAGCTTAGCCCATGGGACATGGAGCCAATTCCTGACAATGGTACATATTGGTCATAAGTTCTGAAATTATTTTTCTTTCAATGTTTCTCACTTATGCACATAATGGGACATGCTTTTGTCCACTCATAAATGTCCTGAAGTTACCACAGTCTCAGAGCTTTGCTAGTATCAAACTGTTTGATACCAGTTTGTTTTCTTTTGGTCTTGGAGATTGTATTTATTATAGGTGTCTTAGCAGTTCATCTGTCACATGACCCACTTTATCGCCAGCACACGTGGCCCCTCTTTTCCCACCCACCCTGTTTTTTTTTGTTTTTGTTTTTAGTTGGGGGGGGGTGTTTCCCCACGGGGGGGGGGGTCTCTGTAGCCCTGGCTGTCCTGGAACTGGCTCTGTAGACCAGGGTGACCTTGAACTCAGAGATCCATTTCCTGAGTTCTTGGATTAAAGGTGAACACTACCACCACCTGGCTCAGTTTTTATTTATTTTTAAGATTTATTTATTTATTACGTATACAGTGTTCTGCCTCCATGTATGTCCACATTCCAGAAAAGGGCACTAGATCTCACTATTTATGGTTGCCAGCCACCATGTGATTGCTGGGAATTGAACTCAGGACCTTTGGAAGAGCAGCCAGTGCTGGTAAATGCTGAGCCATCTCTCCAGCCCCAGTGGTACCTGGAACTTTACATTTGGAAGGAATAGACTGAGGCCCTGAAGATGGTCTCTATTTAGTCTTTATCCGGGTCATAGTGCTTACACCTCAATTCAAGCAGTTTTGCAATCTCTGTAAACAACTTAGAATGTTGAAGGGTTGCTGTGTATATAGTACGGATTGCATGTTAGAGGTTGATCCCCCCGTACCTCTTCTTTAATTTTCTTTAAAATGGAATTCGTCATAGTTGATCCACCAGAAGAATTGGGAGCAAGTATCTCTGTCACTTCAGATGAGCTAGAGAAATTGCTTTATAAACCACAAGATGGCGAATGGGGCCGGAAGTCAAGAGATGAGGAGTGTGAGCGCATCATCAGTGGTATAGACCAGCTCCTGAACCTTGGTGAGTCACTGGCTGAGCCTCACGTTTGTCTCTGGCTCTCTTCACACAATGTCATATGAAATGGAGTTCTCTCTTAGGAATGGTTTGTTTTTTTTTTTTTAAAGCTAATTATCCTCTGTAGGTAATGAACTTACTGTTTAAAAGCCTAGAATTTTGTCTTTTACAGATATAGCAGCAGCTTTTGCAGGCCCGGTGGATCTATGTACATATCCAAAGTATTGCACAGTGGTGGCCTATCCAACTGATCTTTACACAATTCGAATGAGACTTGTTAATCGATTTTATAGGTTAGTAGAGCACCCCTTTCAAAATATCATAAAGAGCTCTTAGGACATAGTAACCAGCATGAATGAGAGGTACAGCTTGCAGATGGTTACTATGTGAGTTTTCAGTGCTGGTGAACATAATTTCCTGTTGTTGCTTGTTATGTCTTTGGGTGAATGACAAATATTGGGTAGTCAGGCATCAGATGATATACCAAGCTTCATTCATGTGCGTGTGTTAGAAATCTGATCCTGGTTTTTTTCTGCCTGTCAAATTCTAAATGCATGAGCTACTAGAACTTAATTTTTTTAAGCTTCATTTTTATCTGTCTGTGTGTATATGCATGTATGTATGTCCTTGTGCATAGAGATTTCCTTGGAGTCTAGAAGAGTTCCATCTCCTGGAGCTGTATTTAAAGGTGGTTGTTTCCAGATATTGAGTGCAAGAGCAGCCAGTGCTATTAACTGTTAAACCATAACCATGAACTAAAGATGGTAAAGGCTTATGAAACAATATAATTCACATTTTTATGATAATGTAGATAGAAATTTAGATACATATTGCTTTGTGATACAAAGCCTACTTTGAAATAAAAGAAAGGACTGGAGAGATGGTTCAGCGTTTAAGAGCACTGGTTGTGCTTTCAGAGGTCCTGAGTTCACTTCCCAGCAGCCACATGGTGGCTCACAACCACCTGTAATGAAGTCTGATGCCCTTTCCTGGTCTGCAGGTGTACATGCAGACAGAGCACGGAAATGTAAATGGAGCCTGTGCTCTCGTTTCTGGCCACCCAGACCTGAATAATAACATAAAAACTATATTACTTGCAACACTGTTCGGTCATTGGCTCAGGCGTATTCCTAGCTAGCTCTTACATCTAAATTAACCCATTTCTATATTTTCTATTTTACCACAGGCTCGTGGTCACCCTTACATCTTGCTTTTTGGGCGGCTGTAAGGTGTCTTCTGACTCCGCCTCACTTCTCTCTGCATTTAGTTTAGTTTTCCCGCCTGGCTCTATTCTGCCCTGCTATGGGCCAAAGCAGCTTCTTTATTAACCAGTGGTAATAAAACATGGGAATCCCACATCACTAGAATAAAAGGAAAGTAATACAAGATCTGTAAGAGTGCTTATCTTGAGGTAGCCCCAATTGGACTGCGTTGAATTTTGCCCCCTTTTCACAGAGTTAAATATTAACACTGCTACATTTAAAAGTAGTACATTTCATGAGTTAGTAATCTACTTGTTTGTCTGAGCAAAGCTTATTTCTCAGAGATAGCAACTTTTTGTTGTCGATTTTTAAAATCACTGTTAATTTTAAAATCACTTCTTTGTAATTTTTTAAATATTTGTTTGTTTATTATGTATACAGTATTCTCAGTGCTCTGCCTGCAGGCTAGAAGAGGGCACCAGATCTCATTACAGATGGTTATGAGCCACCATGTGGTTGCTGGGAATTGAACTCAGGACCTTTGGAAGAGCAGGCGGTGCTCTTAACCACTGAGCCATCTCTCCAGCCCGTTGTTTTTACAGTAATTGATACTATTTAAATTTTTATGATCCTTTGATGGAAATACTGTTGAACATAATTATTATTCCACATTTATAGTGGAATTATAACTAGTCATATGTGTTTAAGCTAGAAACCAATTTGTAATGAAACTGACTCAGAGTTGGTGTTGAACACATTTTCCTCAGTCTGCGTGTGTGTGGGGAGGGACTGTGGTGGGTGCTGTTGGCATGTGGAGAATGTCCAAGATATTCCTCTGGCACTCTTTGCTGTGCTCCCTTGATGCTGAGTCTCTGAGAGACCTGGATAAGCTAACTGCCCAGTAAACTCTTGTGTAGTAGCATCAAAGAGTTACAAAATTGCCCAGAATGCAGTACAACAAAGGTTTATTTATTTTGGATAAACTCACAGTAAGGGTAGCGATCTGCAGTCCTCTGCGTGCACTGGGAACTGAATCCAGCCAAAGAAGGGACTGTGCACATTTTTGCGTCTACACTTACAGTACACGAGACCACGCCCAAAGTGGGCTGGTATCTTAAAAATTATTGGCTAAAGGAGTTCCCACAGCACTCTTGGGAGCTGTATTTACCTCCTCCAATGCCGGAGTTAAAGGCATCCTACCGGTGCTCACTTCCTTTTCACATGGTTGCTGCAGAACCTAATCCACAAGCAAGCTATTGTACCTATGGAGCCACTTCCCAGCCCTGTTTGTTAAGTTTTGACAGCTTCAAAAGGTACTAATAGGGCTGGATAGATGGCTCAGTGGTTAAGAGCATTGCCTGCTCTTCCAAAGGTCCTGAGTTCAATTCCCAGCAACCACATGGTGGCTCACAACCATCTGTAAAGAGGTCTGGCGCCCTCTTCTGGCCTTCAGGCATACAGACAGAATATTGTATACATTATAAATAAATAAATAAATATTTTTAAAAAAAGGTACTAATAGGCATGGTGGAAAGGAAAGGATGGTGTGTGTGTGTGCGTGCGTGCGTGCGTGCGTGCGCGCTTGCGTGCACATGCTCGTGTGTGAGATAAAGTGATTGATGTGGTTTGTTTAAATTAGATCTTGTAATTTTTGTCTATTGTAACTATAATGACTGAGTTGAGAGCGTGAGGTTATTTAGTGTGACTTTTCACTAGTGCTGTCTGAAGATATGTCTCATTTACTAGACTAACTTTGCTAGGTTTTGGTTATTTTCCTTTTAAGTAATGGTACTTTTCTTTTTGAGGCGGTTATCTGCATTGATTTGGGAAGTCCGATATATAGAGCATAATGCAAGAACATTTAATGAACCGGAAAGTGTAATTGCAAGGTCAGCTAAAAAAATAACCGACCAGCTTCTGAAATTTATTAAGTAAGTGATCTCATGTGTGGTGGGAAAGTGATTTTTTTTCGATATACTGTGTTTTTATAATGTCCCATGTTTATTGCCTGAATTCTTCCCATCTGAGGTTTTACTTGAGGGAACATTTCCTTGCATACTTTCAATAAAGGAATGTGAACAATTCAGTTTTATTTTTTAATACTTCATTAAGTATTATGGGTATTTTGCCAGCTTATATGTATGTACACTTGTGTGCCTGGTGCCCTAGGAGGCCAGAAAAGGGTGTGGGATCTCCATGCAACTAGAGTTCCAGAGGGCAGTTACCTCCATGTTGGTGCTGGGAATGTAACCCAGATCCTGGGGAAGCACAAGCCAGTGTTTATTACCACTGAGCCATCTCGCCAGCCCCAACCTTTATATATTTAAAAATCTAAAGTAATTAAAAATAATTTCATCAATGTTTTATCAGCATGTATGTGTGTGTGTGTATATATACACGTGTATGCCTGATGTCTGATGCAGAAAGACGACATCGAATCCCTTGGATTGTGAGCCCATTATGTGGCTGCTGGAAATTGAACCCAGTTCTTCTGCAAGAGTAGTCTGTGCTTTAAACTGAGGTTCATCTCTTCAGCAAATGTGAAGTGTTTTATACTACTGTGTGGCTAATATCCAGTTGCTTGTGAACATAGCTGTGGTATAAAGTGTTAGGTAATTAACCCTGTCTAGTTGTGTCAGTTTCCAGTGTTTTAGTAGTTTGTATGCCAAATGCCCCTGTGTTTCAGAGTCAAATCTAGACTCGCTGGTGTATTTTAGTGTTGGTTTGTTTTGTTGTTTTAATCGTCTTCTAAGTTTTCTAGACTCTTTTTCTGAAATGTTGGTCACTTAATTTTGTAGACTGTAGGTTTTTCAGGCATCTTTTAATGACTAGGTTAAAGTTGAATTTATTTTGATTGTACTCTCTGAAAGTAGACTTGTATAAATAGTCTGTACATTTACATATTTTGCAAATTTGTTTGAAATTCTGTGAATACTGAAGTGGGAATTAAGACCTGAGTTCTTTTAGAGATGTCATATTTTTGTGTATGGACAGATAACCCAACTTCAGTCTTCTCATGAGAGAATAAATTTCCTTCCCATGTGTCTTGTCTTTACAAATTCTTTGAAAGACTCCTTAAGTCTAAGGCTATACCATCCCTGAACATGTCCGGTCTTGTGTGAAAACACAAGGAAGTTGCATGAGCAGACAGCAATGCCACAGTTAGCAGTCTAAGGTGTGGATGCTGGCCTCCTTCAGGATTGTTTTCTCTGCCTCCAAAAGCAGCGTGCCCGTGTTGTCATTATTTTTGGGCTTCCTTTCAGCATTCTTTCCTTTGTTTATTCACTGACGTTTAGATGGTTGGTTTGGTTTGTTTCCTTTCTCTTCTGTCTTAAATCTCCTTTTCTCATGGTATTTGCTATATCAGTTTTACTGTGCTAATACCTAGGAGAAATCATGCTGTGTTCATCCTGAAAAGGCCACTTAGAGTATCATTATTTCTGTGTTACCAACTTGATTTTGAACGCTTAAATTATCATTATTCTAAATTAGAATATTGAAGTCCATCTTTTCCATAGAGGACTGGTTACAGTCGTGTGTCATGTTTAAAGTTGGGTGTGTCTAGCCTGGGGAGCTATCTGCATTTTTTCACATGCAGTGAGTGCTTGTGAGGAGGACTATCCATGTGACTAATTGTGAAAATTTTAACTTTTAGGAATCAAGATTGTACAAACATATCAGAACTGTCTAACACATCGGAAAATGATGACCAGAATGCCGATGAATTGGTATGACGTTTTCACTTTATTTTTTTTTATTTTTTTAAATATTTATTTATTTATTATGTATACAATATTCTATCTGTGTGTATGCCTACAGGCCAGAAGAGGGCACCAGACCTTATTACAGATGGTTGTGAGCCACCATGTGGTTGCTGGGATTGAACTCAGGACGTTTGGAAGAGCAGGCAATGTTCTTAACCACTGAGCCATCTCTCCAGCCCCACGTTTTTACTTTATAATGCAATGATTTCAAAGCGAGACTAGAAAATGTAGGTCATCTAGTACCAGCTTTTGTGGTATGTTCCAGTTAGCTATGGCAGTATGGTGCTTGATGAGAATGTTCATGGTTAAGTGATGTCTCTGGTACACTTTTGCTCAGATGATGATTTCTGGTGAGAACTCCATAGTAAGGTGCTCTGGTTTATCCTAGGACGATAGTGATCTCCCTAAAACATCTTCTGGAAGGAGAAGGGTAAGTCCTCTGCATGGCAAACTGGTTTGTGTGTTCTGTGTTCAAAACCAAATATCATCTGGATTACAGCTTCTGCCTTAAAGTTATATGGTGGTACTGCATATTTTATGCGATGACTTAGTGTGGTTTATAAAGAAAGGGGAAAATCATTAAATCCAGGAATGTCTAGTTGAGCGTTGCTGCTGGAACTAAATTCTCAGATGGAGTAAGATGTGGACTCCCATGAGAAAGGAGGTAGGGCATCTGTGTCTGTGGGCTTTGCAGGACACTGGCCTGACTTGTGTGTCCGTTCATTTTCTTGGGAATCCAAGGATTTGATGTGACTGTAAGGTAGAGCAGCAGTTGTAGCTGAAGTGGGTGAATACAGCTTGGAGGATAAGGTATCTCTGATGGTTGCATTTTAATGTGGATTGAATGCTTGACTAAGAAAGAGTATTCTTCATGTGATTGTGAAGTCCAGGTACAGATAGTGTTGTTTTCTTGGAATAGAGAGGAAAAAAATGATAAGCTCTTTTAAGGGGAAAAGTAGATTAGCTAGGATTTGGAAAGGAGATCTGTTCAAAAAAAAGAAAATCAAGTATCATCTGGGTGTGGTGGCACATACCTTTTTAATCTCAGCACTCAGGTGGCAGAGGCAGGTGGATCTGAGTTTGAGGACAACTTGGTTTACATAGTGTGTTCCAGGACAGCCAGGACTACAGTTAGTAAGGTCCTATTTTTTTTTTAAATCAACTAGCTAAAGAAATTGAATACTCATTTTTTTGTGTAATGATTGTCCTAATTAACATTGAAGAGCTAGACATGCAGTTGTCTTGTTTATTTTCATGTTGCTTCATTTCCAGCTGGAGTGCCAAGTGTTTTCCTATGTCTGTTTCTTTGCTGTATCTGCTGTTGCAAATGACATAATTTATTCCACAAGCCAGATGTTGCTATGTGCATGGAGAAGTTTGATGTGACTCTTATTAAAATTATGGTCTTTCTTTCTCTCTGTCTCTTTCACGCACTCATACACACACACACACACACACCCTACTCCTATGCTTTCTGTTTGAGTTCATTCAAACCAGACAATAGCTTTTGTGTCTTTTTTGTGGTCACATTGGTTTCTATAAGGCATCTCTTCCCATGTCACAGCTAGGCTCTGTGATAGTTTTGGTTGAGGAGCCTGCCTTCCTTCCTTCCTTCCTTCCTTCCTTTGTTGTTTTTTTTGTTTGTTTTTGTTTTGTTTGTTTTTCAAGACAGGGTTTCTTTGTAGCTTTGGAGCCTGTCCTGGAACTAGCTCTTGTAGACCAGGCTGGTCTCAAACTCAGAGATCCACCTGCTTTTGCCTCCCGAATGCTGGGATTAAAGGCTTGCACCACCATCGCCCGGCGAGGAGCTATTCTTTCTACCTCATTTTCAAATGAGTGTGACAAACAAGGTGCATGGGTGAGAAAGAATTGGTAGAAGCGCTTGTTAGATTGTATGCCCTGTGCTCATTTTCACATTTAATGTTATTGTAATTCTTCTCATTAATCCTCTTATTTATTTATTTATTGGGATTTTTTTTTTTTTTTTTTGAGACAGGGTTTCTCTGTAGCTTTCGAGTTTATCCTGGAACTAGCTCTTGTAGACCAGGCTGGCCTCAAACTCGCGGAGATCCTCCTGCGTCTGCCTCCTGAGTGCTGGGATTAAAGGGGTATGCAAACACCGCCTGGATCTCATTAATATTTTCTTAAAGTATGTTTGTTTGTCTTAATTTTTTCCTTTTAGAAAAGTATGTTGAGAACGTTATGAAAGATGATTGGATGTTTGTAGCACTCAGCTTTGTCCAGCTAGATAACAAGTTGGAAACAGCCACAACTTCTAATACAATACAGAAAGTAGAAGAGCCCACTTAATTTTTTTAAGCTAGTATCTTACACCATACTGTGAAAATGCTCTCTCCACATTTTTCACCCAGGCTAAAATAACCTACAGATATGTTCTCAGGTCCACAACTGGAGAAAGAGGAGCAGCAGAGCCACCAGCTGTGTTGAGAGCGACTGGAGGAGGCAGTGCAAAGCCTTGCTTATCTTGATCTTCCAGTGCGAGGACTCTGAGCCTTTCAGACAGCCTGTGGACCTGGTCGAATACCCAGTAAGTTTCCTTGTTGTTGAGAAGAGAGTGGGGCCGCAGATTTATATTAAACTCAGGAGTAAAAGGACGGGCTTTATTCATGTTGGTATGTTCTCTTTCTACACTAGGTTAGTTCTGTACATGGTAACTCACTTAAGAACTTAGACATAGCTTCACAGAATACTAAAATGGGGGGTCTGTATGTGGGCTTTGCTGTCTATAGGCACAACATTAATTTACTGGAGCTAGAGAGGTGGCTCATAGGTTAGAGGTCTTGGCTGCTCTTACAGAAGTTTCTGACACTAACATAGCAGCTCACAGCCATCTCTAACTCCAGTCCCATGGGATCCAGTGCCCTCCACAGGCAGCAGACATGCACATGGTGCATATTCCTACATACGGGCATACTCACTCATTTGACACAGTAAAGAAGACTGAGATAATGAACAGGACAGGTGGACATTGATCAGAACCACGAATCCAAAACACCACCTGCTACTTCAAGCTTGGGATTACTGAGGACTGTAAAGCAGAAAATTAAAATACCCTTGTTTCATGGCCAGTATGCATTTGTCATTTAATGATATGTGTGGTGCTGGAGAGATGTGTCAGCAGTAAGAGTGCTTGCAGAGGACTAGAGTTTAGTTTCCCATACCATGTCAGGCAATTCATAAATAACCTGTCCTTCCGAAGGGGTCTGAACCGCTCTTGTGGCCTATCTGAGCACTGCACTCACATCCTAACATAAAGTAAAATAAAGTAATCCGGGCAGTGGTGTGGCACACCCTTAATCTCAGCACTCAGGAGGCAAAGGCAGATGGATTTCTGTGAGCTCAGGGCCAGCCTGGTCTACAGAGAGAGTTCTTGGACAGCCAGGAAACAGAGAAACCATGCCTTGAAAAACCAGCCAAATAGAAATAAAGTAAAATCTTTAATATTTGATAGTTTCTACTGTACTGTTGACTGAGTTTTCTATCCTGCCCTGTTACCACAATCGTTAAGTCCCAAAGAAACCACACAGAGGTCTACATTAGTTATTAACTGATTGGTCCATTAGCTCAGGCTTCTTATTAACTCTTATAACTTATAGTAGCCCATTACACGTGGCTTGGTACCTTTTTCGGCAAGGCAGTCACATCTTGCTTGCTCTGTGGATGGGTCAGGAATGTGGAAAGAGCTTCCTCCCTCTTCCCAGAATTCTCATTGTTCCACCTCTACTTCCTGTCTGGTTGTCCCGCCTATACTTCCTACCTGGCTACTGGCCAATCAACATTTATTTAAAATATAATTGACAGGATACAGACCATTGTCCCACACCACCGTACCTTTCTTTTTATCTTATGAATATACCTTAAAGTACTAATCCTCAGATATTTCACTTTTCCCCTTTCTATCATTTTGAATATTTTAGTGTAGATGTTTCCTTTTAAAAAGTTTGTGTGTATGGGTATTTTATATGTTCTATTTGCATGTATATTAGTGTGCCTTGTTTGTACTGCCCAGGGAAGCCAGAGAGGTGTAGAATCTGTATATTAGTGTGCCTTGTTTGTACTGCCCAGGGAAGCCAGAGAGGTGTCGAATCCTCTAGGACTGGAGTTACAGGTGGTTGTGTGTCACCGTATGGGTGCTGGGAGCTCAGGTCCTCTGAAAAGAGTAGCCAGTACACTAAATTGCTGAGCCATCTCCTACCCCTTAAGTACTTACATTTTGAGGGCATGAAGTTCATCTGTGAATTGTCATTTTTAAAACAGGATTACCGAGATATTATAGATACTCCAATGGATTTTGGAACGGTAAGGGAAACTCTAGAAGCTGGGAATTATGATAGCCCTGTGGAATTCTGCAAAGATATCCGATTGATATTTAGCAATGCAAAGGCCTATACACCCAACAAAAGATCAAAGGTAATTTTTTTTCTTGCTTTATTTTAACAAAGTGTTCATGATGTGTACTTTTCTACTTGTAGTAGTAGTTAGGGTATGTACAATAACTGGGTAAACACAAGACTGCCATGTTGGACAAGTTGTTGCCAAAGCTTTCATAAGAACAGTTTTTAATCTTAAAGGTACTCTCGTGAGTATGAAGTTACATGTGAATATAGATAGAGATTGCTGGTTAGGATAGTGGTGGAGTTTATTAGTTTATGAATTAGACACGGTAAGAGATAACTTGTATCTATCAGTTAGTAGCACATTTATAGTGATATAATAGAAGCTACATGAATATAATTTTAATTGCCGTGAGCTGGATAATGTATACAGTTTGGATACTGTGGCCATAAAGATAATTCATTTCCCAAATCGGTTGTCGCAGAATGGCATGAAGCTATATCCTGCTATTCAGAAGGGTGTGGATTTCAGATTTAAGTGTAGCTTATTTGTGGAAGTGTCTCTTAGTATAATTGGATCATTGCTAAGTAAGACCCAAGAGCTGCTCACTTTAAAAACAAACAGAAAACAAAAACCATTTTTGAGACAGCGCTTGAGGAGTGGCTCACCAGGAGGGGGTGCTGTTGGCTGTCAACTCCAGCAGCCTGAATTTGATTTTCAGAGCCCACATTATGGAAGGAGTGAATTAACTCCTACAGGTTGTCTTCTGATTTTTTTCTGTCCAGACATAAATTTAAAAAATGTAAAATAGGATAAGAAAAATTTCGAGACAAGAGTTTTTGACTGGCTTGTAACTTGCTATCTAACTAGCCTCAAGGATTCATGCCTATCTCCCTGGGATCACAAGACTGTTCTTCTATATCTGCTCCCTCCCTCCCTCCCTCCCTCCCTCCCTCCCTCCCTCCTTCCCTCCTTCCTTTTAAATGTGGATTATGGGGCTTGAACTCAGATCCTTATGCTTTCAAAGGACATACTTTATTGGCTGAGCCATTTCTCAGCCTGATAGTAAACTTTTGAGTATTAGACCTGGGCACTCATTTCTGTATTTAATGTGGGTGTGTGCAGGCTTCCTCCATAATTCACGTAGCTTAGACCAGTTTGATGTTATTTTAATGATTTGATAATTATTGAATTTGTTGGGCTTGGGATTTAACCCAGTTGTAGAGTGCTTAACCTACACACAGTGTGTGTTAGAACCTGGTTCTGTCTCCATGCTGCATAAGCCGGGTAGTGACACACACAAGAGTGATGGAGGAGGACCAGGAATATGCCTACATTGTAAGTGACTGGATGTCTTTTGTGTGGGATGAAAGACGTTCTGTATCATATATAGATTTAGGTGGTATTCCAGTCAAATTTCAAAATGATTGCTGTAAAAATGCTTTTGTTTCTTTGATCCAAACACACACCAAATAGCAGTATTAGAAGTAACTTCGAAGCCGGGCGGTGGTGGCGCACGGCTTTAATCCCAGCACTCGGGAGGCAGAGGCAGGTGGATCTCTGTGAGTTCGAGGCCAGCCTGGTCTACAAGAGCTAGTTCCAGGACAGGAACCAAAAGCTACGGAGAAACCCTGTCTCGAAAAATCAAAAAAAAAAAAAAAAAAAAAAAGTAACTTCGAAATTTGTTAAGGAGAAATGTGCACTTTGTAACTGGTTGGGACCAATGTTAAAGTCCTGAGGATATCCACTGAGTTGTCTTGGGTTGTGGAGTGTAGAGTTGTCTCTTTACCACTACTCTGAAGTCAGCTTTCAGTGTATGTAGATGTCTCCATATCCCGCAAATGCTGGTGATGTGTGGTAGGTGGGAAGGAAAGAAGATGTTCCTCCACCTACAGTGACCTGGGACAGAGTTACTTTGTAATTCTGGTTTTGTTTTTGTGTCTGTATAGATTTATAGTATGACCTTGAGATTGTCTGCTTTGTTTGAAGAAAAAATGAAGAAAATCTCCTTTGATTTTAAAATTGGTCAAAAATTTAAGGAGAAACTTCGGCGAAGCCAAAGATTTAAGCAACGGCGAGGTTGTAATGGTGCCTTTCGGGCTGACAGAAGTATAAGGTGAGTGGGATGGCATTGCACGTGATTGGTTTTTAATTTAAGATGTTTTACTGTGCTAAAAGTCATCTCTTTGAGTACTGATCTACACGCTCATCTAGTATTTAGGCTTCTTTAACTTTACATCAAGAAACCTTTTAATACTTGGCTCTCATAGTTCAGTGTCCAGTTATAAGAGTGTAGGTTTGCGTTATCCTGGTGTCGTCTTTTCCCTCTCTCCAGCCTGAAGATTTCTTTAGAATGCTTTGTAAAGCAGGCAGGTGAACCTGCAGTGGTCGCTATCTTTGTAAAGCAGGCAGGTGGACCTGCAGTGGTCGCTATCTTTGCATTCTTGCTGGTGTTTTAATTCTACCTTCATTTTGAAGGTAAATTTTAAAAATACGTTTTGGGGAAGTAAAACAGTTTGAGGCAGCCTGGTCTACAGAGTGAGTGCCAGGACTGGCTCCAAAGCTACATGAAGAAACCCTGTCTTGAAAAACAAGAAAAACCAACAAGAATTGGTTTGGAAATTTTATTTATTTTTATTTTATGTATATGGCTATTTGTCTGCATGTAGGTGTGTATATCACATGTGTGTCCTGAGACGGGGGTTACGGAGGCTTGTGAGCTACCATGTGTTGGTGCTGAGAATTGAATCTGGGTCTTCTGGAAGAGAGAGTGGCTGCTGATCCCTCTCTCTAGCCCAGAAAAATAATTTGGATGCATAGTGAATTCTTGTCAGTTCGCCTACCGTATTAGCTGCTGGTATCCTGCTGAGCTTCTTCCCTTGTTGCATACATTATTTTCCTTTTGCTGCTTCCAAGGTTTCTTCCTTTCTTCAACCCACCACAGGAGTAGCTTTGTATTACTTGGGTGTTTATCCAGTTCTGTGGGTATGAAGTGTAATTTGTCAAATTTGAAAAGTTTTTATTCACTGTTTCTTTAAATATTTTTCCCTGCTTTTTTCCCCTCTTTCTTTGGACTACCAAAATTTCTATGTGACTAATACCCAGATTTGTAACTTAACAGAATGCATACTTAGGTGTAAATAGTCTGTTTAATTGGATCATCTGATCATTATTCAAAGTTGAATAAACCTGTAAAATTTAGAGTAAAGAAATACTTATTAATCCATCTTTAATAAACATTAATAGTGAATGTTTTATTTATGTGAATATTTGCAGGCTGAAAAGCAATATACTTTTATTTGGGTATTCTCTGGTGATTTATGTTTTATTAATAATTGTTTCTCTTGTCCATACTTTTTACCAGAAATATCAAACAGAAGCAGATGAAATCTCAGACAAAAGTAATTCCACAGTTGATGTGTCCTTCCTCCCAGTCTACCTCAAGTAGGGCACCTGTGTCCTCAGCCTGCAAGACAAGCACTGGTGCCTCTTCAGGCTTCACCTCTGGGGACTCTTCAGACTCAGCGGGGCCACCAGGGAGAACGAGAAGACATAGATCTGAAATACTAAGGAATGGCTCTGAGCTGTCGGGTGAGGAGTGCTGCTTATTTCTGTGGATTAGAAACAGCACAGTGTACAGCCATGACACCAGTATGAAATTGTCTTAGTTACTGTCCTAGTTAGACCCCGTGACCATGGCAACTCTTCTAAAGGAAAACATTTAATTGTGGTGGCAGCTTACCATCAGAGGTTTAGTCCATTGTCATGACAGTGAAGCAAGGCAGTGTGAGACAGACATGGTGCAGAGAAGGAGCTGAGAGTTCTTGTATTTGACTAACAGGCAATGGGAAGTGACTTGACCCCAAAGCCTGCAGGACATATGTCCTCCAGCAAGGCCACACCCACACCTATACCAACAAGGCCACAGCTCCTAATAGTTCCATTCCCTATGGGGGCCACCTTCCTTCAGAACACCAGAATATAGACACGGTTACAGAATGAAGTCTCCAAGTATGTAAGAACAGGAAACTGGGATACCCTATCTGTCTTGGGATTTCTTTTGCTGTGGTAATGCAGCCAGTTTGATGGAGGTGTTTTCTCAGGTGAGGTTCCTTCTTCCCAAATGATTCTAGTGTGTGTTTAGCCAGCACAGCTGACTCTATGTCAACTTGACACACAAACACATCACCGTTCAACTAGATCTTTTTTTCTCATTTGTCCCTAAGATGGCAGGTTAAATTAATGTCACAGTATAAAACAACCCAACTTTTTGAAAGTCCCAACAGTTTTTTAAAATTCTGAAGTTCAGTCTTTTTTTAAAAACATCCAAAGTCTCATTCAAAGTTCAAAGTCCTTCTAGAATTCTAAACTCTCTTAACTGTGGGATCCTTTAAAATCAAAAATAAGTTACATACCTTCATATTCAGACCAAAGCAAACCCAAAATTGCCAAAGTTTGGTGCTGTATGCCTGGGAGGCACTCATTGTCTGCAGCATGCACAGCTCACCTTCCTAGGTCAGATCAGCTCCGTTTCACAGCTTCTGCTGCTTTTGGTGATCTTCCCCTGGCATCTTTAAAATGCTGCGATCTACACTGCAGCCGTAGCCTCCCCGAGCACTCTTTAGGGACTCTGTCACTGCCACATGGTACCAAGCTTCAACTTCTCTCCATGGCTTTTTCAATCCCGGGGCTTAGCTACGATTGAGGTGCACCTTTACCTCTGGCCTCTCATAGTGCCAAGCTTCAGCTGCTCTCAGTGACTCTTCATATCTTCAAAACAGGCATGTTAGCCTGTTTTATTGTAGCTCTTAGGACCATGAGCCCAGGGGTTGTACCACCCACAGCCATCTGGCCTCCCACATCAATCATCAATTAAGAAAATTCCATACAGTCTTACACACAGGTCAATCTGGTGGGAGCAGTTTTTCAGTTGAAAGCTGCTCTTCCCGAATGATAATTGTGTCAGGTTGACACAAAACAAGCTTGCACACTGCCTCGTGCTCCTGTGTGACTGTGAGGTTCATGTGTTAGAACTGTCTTGTCAGGAGCTGCTGGAGATCTGAAACTCCTCCTTTTGAGGTCAAAGGGTCCAGAATGATTGTATCTTCTAGCATAGAAATGTCTTGATGTCACAGAAGGCATAATAATTAGTGGGGCTAATTAAGTTTGAAATGGAAATTTGCTCTTTTTATTTCTGTTTTTCGAGACAGGGTTTCTCTGTAACTGGAAAGTTTGGTTTTAAATTGTTTTCTAAATTTTGCCCAGTGTGTGGTGGTCAGCCTTGAAAATACAGGCATAACTTAATGTGGAACACTGAAGTGGACTTGTTTTTAAGTACCTCTTTTAAGTCACTTTCTACATTCAAAGCATTTTTAGAATCTTTAATTTTTTTGTTTTAAATTTCAGCTTATTTTCTCTATTTATCATGTGCCTGGTACCCACTAAGTCCAGAAGAGGGCATCCAATTCCTGGAACTAGAGCTAGAGGCACTTGTGACTAACTGTCATATGGGTGTTGGGGCTGAGCTTGTGTCCTCTGCAGGAGCAGCAAGTGCTCTTATCTGTTGAGCCATCTGTGCAACTCAAGAGTCTGGGTTTAGTATAAGTTACATCGTGAAATATTTGAGTTATGAGACAAATGCTTGTTGTGGAGACCTTATTATTTTTGTTTTGTTTTAGAAAGTGAAATGGAAGATTTCATAGCTACCTCTTCATCTTCGCCTAGTTCTGAGGAAAGCAAAGAGAGCCCCAGAGCTGCAGAGAGCTCCCTGCGCAGTGGCTTCTTGAGAAGCAGCAATCTCAGGGTGACGAGAACACGAGCCGCTCAGAGAAAAGCTGGTCAGTGACTAATCAGTGTTGATTGGTGTAATTGAACTCATCTAGATGTGATGAAATGTCTCAATTCTTTTAATTTGGAAAGGAAAGTAACATCAACATGTTTCAGTCAATCCTTGTAGAAACATTTGAAAACCTAGTGTGTCTAGTGTCACCTTAGGAAGCAAGCGCCAGTGTGGCCTGTGTGTCTGTGTACTATGACTGTCCAGAGTAAGGAAACCGTTCCCTAACCCCGTCACTATGTGTCTGTGTAGTATGACTGTCCAGAATAAGGAAACAGTTCCCTAACCCCGTCATTATGTGTCTGTGTAGTATGACTGTCCAGAGTAAGGAAACAGTTCCCTAACCCCGTCACTATGTGTCTGTGTAGTATGACTGTCCAGAGTAAGGAAACAGTTCCCTAACCCCATCACTTTATTTTCAGGTTCTGTTTCTTTAGAAAATGGATGTGGCAGAAAAGCCACTCGGAAGAGAGCCTACCTAAGTGATTCTGATAACAACTCCGTGGAGACAGATGAAGATCTGAAGGGCAAGGCTGGAAACACCCGGAAAGTCCTCCGGAAGTGTGCTGCTGTTGCTGCCAACAAGATAAAGTTAATGAGTGATGCGGAAGAAGACTCGAGCTCTGAGAGCCTCTGCTCTGGCCGTAAGCTGCCACATCGCAACGCCTCGGCTGCAGCTAGGAGAAAGTTACTACACAATTGTGACGACCTTAAGTCAGAGACGGAAGAAAAAGACCAGAGCCGAGGAGCGCAGCTGCTGTCTGGTCCTCACTCCTCCCAAGACAGTGTCAGTGACTCAGACAGTGACTTGAGAGTGGCCCGGAAGAACTGGCACGCGAACGGCTGCACATCCCACACTCCAGCAACAGGCAAAACAAAGTTCCTTCCAATAGAGTCTTCTGAGGAAGACTCCAGATGTCCCGAATCAGATGATGGGCTCAGCAGCACTGCTACCCCTTCAACATCTGGGCAGAAACTTGGGACAGAGAACATCTCTGAGGAAGTTGACTCTGAACCAGGAAGCAGTAAATTATGCAAGAATGCACATTTGTTTAAGAAGGCGACTGTCTTGAGCGATTCAGAAGATTGTGAAGAACAAGGACGGAAGAGCAAGAGACTTCGCACAGCGGAAGGAGACCCAGTCCCTGAGGCCTTGAAGAGTGAAGCTGTTTCTGTGCTGCAGGGTCTCTCGGGTCCTGGGTCTGAGACTGAAGTGGATTCTGATGTTGGCACAGCGAAAGATAAATTGCACAGCGATATGAATGGTAATTCTAGACACTCGCCCTTTCACTAATTTACCCCTTCCTCCTCTTTCTATTGGGTAAAAGACTGTTTGCCCTCTTCTAGATTTCTTTTTATTAGCTGTTTTTTCTGATTGTATGCTGGTTCTTTGTTCACCTTTCTGTTGTCACCACACTGTGCACAATCACTGTTAGTCACTGAACGTTTAGTCTTGGCTTTAACTATTCTGTTAAAGATTTTACTTTGAATATTGGCATTGTATTAGAGACAGGAACGTGGTAGTGACTGCTTGAGAAAGAGAAATGATGGGATTGGTTCAGTGTTAGTAATGATGGCAGCTGGTGGAACGGTCTTGTTGAACCTCTTCACGTTGTCCTCAGTTGGGCTCTGCTGCACTCAGGCAGTGTCAGGAGTTGGGACCATCTCACGTAACCTGACTGTTAGTAAGAATTCAGCACTTAAATTGTCTTATGTTAAGCGTTTGATTACTTTAGAAATAGTTACTCATATCAAAGATTAAAAAAATACTTTTTCATTTTTAGATTCTCTGTCTCAAGAGAATGGACAAAGCAGAAAAATTTCCCAGAAAAGGGTCTGTTCCAGTGACTCGGAAAGCAATCTCCAGGTTATGAAGAAGTCACCCAGGATTACTCGAAGTGCTAGTGTGGCTGCTGATAAAACCAAGCTCACAAGTGATGCAGAAAATGTCACCTTAGAAAGGGTGTGTACTCGAGGCAGAAGGAGAAGGAAAAAGCCCATCCGATTGGCCTGTACCCCAGCAAAGAAGATACCGAGTGGTGGTGAGACACACGCACACTGTGAAGTGCCAGAGGCACAACGTGCCTGCGGTAGCAACCTCCCCGAGTCTGAATCCCAAGGTAGTACAAAAAATGCCAGTGAGTCTGTAAATGCAGAGTTGGATTCTGAAGGGGCTTCCAGTGTTGAGCATACTGAAAGCATACAGAAGAGGCATACGGACACTGTGGACATCAGAATGCCGCCTAAAACTCGGAGCTCCTCTGCTAGACCTTCTCAGGAAGACCCCCAAAGCCACACCCCAGATAGTGAGATTAGCTTGTCTTCTGAATCAGTTTTGGCCCAAAAAGCTATCACAGAGAATAACTTTGAAGAAGACCTGAATTATGGGTTACGGAGGTGGAATGGCAGAAGGCTCAGGACATATGGAAAAGCCCCTTTCGATAGGACAGCACAACTGACTCACAGTCTGCAGGCTTCGGCAGAGGTTCGAGGGAAGAGGAGACTGCGTCCTGAGCTAGACAGTGTGGACACACCTGGACAGACGGAGACTTCAGCGTGTGTACCTGACACCAGCCCTAAGTCTTCAGATTTGGGGTCAGTGACTGAATCTGATGCTGAGTGTACTGATAACACAAAAGCCCCGAGGAAGGAGAAAAGGAAAGGAAAAGCAAAGGTGGTTAGAAAAGGTAAAACCCATCCCTCTAACCCGTCTAAGACTGCACGACATCAAAGACAGAGTAAATGTCCCCGGTTGAGTGTGGATGACAACGACTGGGAAGATTTGGACTATGCAAAAGCTAAAAGAGTTGTTCGGCGCTCAAAAATAAAAACAAGAAATCAGGGTAGGAGAACGGTGAGATACCATGATGGGGAAGATGACAGAAGCATAGAAAACGCATTGGAGCTCAGTGACTGCACCTTGTGACCTTGAGAGCCAGCGTGCTCACAGCGACTGGAATGTATTGTGAAAGCTGGCTTACAATTCAGGGAATATATTTATATTTTTCTATGAGAAGTTTGTGAATGTGACTAAATCATGACTGTTATTTTTATTTGCACTTGCTGGTTTTTGAAGCAGCATTCAGCACAGGTGCCAAAATATGCTTCATTTTGGGGGCAGATCTACTTTGACAGTATTGAATACAGACAGCAAGAGTTCGAGACACGTTAAACACTAGACGACTTGGTTACCCAAACCACTGAGCATTACTTTGTAACAGCAGTGTCACGCAGTTATTTTCTGAATTTGTCCAGAAGTGGTAGTTTCTAAACCCCTGCCATGTAGTTAAAGTAGGAGAAAAATCCTCGTGACCTATGTTTACAGAATCTTGATAAATATTATGTGCATACTGACATTATAATCATGGCGAGTGTAACCATGATTAGTAGGCAAGGCACCTACCACTTTTTTTTTTTTTTTACTATTTTTTTTTAATCATTTTCCCTGGAGACTTGAGTAAGATACATTTACCCGCATCTGGTCATCTTTATTAACATGGCTTCCACTTTTTCCCAAATGCTTGTTGGGTCTTACTCTTATCTTTTTAAGGAAAACCTGATGACTTTAATGTTTATAAACTTGAATTTATAAAGTGCTGGTAAATGATTTTACATGTTTGGAGTGCATAATTTAAAGGTCTAGGTTGAGAGAATAGTTAGAATATTTTCTTTTAGATAGTTCACTGACAAATTGTTCCTTGGTTTTTTTTGTTTTGTTTTGTTTTGTTTTTGTTCAAGATTTACTTTCCATTAGGATTTACCAAATTCTTGCTTTTCCATAATCTTACTCTAAAGTAGAGAAGTTTGTGTGCCTTAGATTTAGGGAAAGTGTTCTTTAATAAGAGGGCAGGGCTAATGGTATTTCAGTTCTGTGTAGATTTTCCTCTGTCAGAACTGTAGAGTTCAGAGTACAATTGTGAATCCTAGCTATGTCCTTCTCCATCCTTGAACTTACTGCTGTCATGTGCATCATCAGCATCCTTTGCTGGGACCTCTAGTGTAAGAAAGTCATGTTTGAGGCACAGTGATTTTGAAATCATTTGAAGTGAACATCACATCACCCTCAATACTAGAGTACATTTATTTTTGAGCCAGGTTCATTTCTTTGTTGAGTTGCTTATTTTTGGTCTACTGTAGATAGCTCTTCCAGGTAGGTTTCCCTTGAGTTTCCGTGAGTGATAGGGATATGTGGTTTACACACCTTCGAGTGATTTTTGACCATAGTTGTGTTTGCTTTCATATATAAACTGCCCCCTTTCCCTCCTCTTTTCCTGGGGTGGCAGATCAGGAAGAACATCTGATGTTCTTTGGTGTCACAATTCCTTTTGGCAGGCAGCACTCCTCTGTTCTCATGCAAGAGATGGGGTTGGCTTTGGGAGTTTCCAGCGGTGGTTGGTAGGTGCTGTTTCTCAGGGTAGTGATCTCTGCCCACCACACATGGGAGGTTAGATGCTTACCATAGAGTAGATGGAAGGTCCTGTTGTCTTTGGCCATCGACCAGAAATACGTTTGATTCCTGTTACATCCCTCAGAATTTTAGCTGCATGTTTACCATTATCTGCAAAAAGGCACCAAAAATCCATAAATGAATATGAAGTGCACTCATAAGTGAGTTTGGGTTTCATGTGCAGAACGGTTCTCAGGCTTAGACTAAGTTTTAAATGATAGTTGATTAGTCTACAGTCCTTTCTAAAACTCCCACTCCCCCTTTCTTTTTGGTCCAATTGTGTAGAAGCAGTATTTCGGGTTCATCAGAGAACAGAAGTGACTCTGGTGACCTTGGGTGGGATTGTTGACAGTGACTCTCAACTTGTGAAGTCAAGATGAGGGGTTGGGAGGAAGTATTTTTGTGGGGTTTTGTTTTTCATTTTTTTCTTTTTGGTTATGGTGCTATTTCTAACATGAAATTTGAATATGTGACACACTCCTAAGTACCATTAAGGATTAAGGATGATTAATAAATAATAGTTAAAATGTTTACATTGAGCACTAGGTGTTTAAATGCGCAGGGATTTAATGCACAGATGTACTTTAATGTTGAGGATCAGTTGGTCTTTTTGGGAGCGTTACAAGGTGAATGTGAACTGGTCCAGAGACAAGTGCTCCAGCTTCTGTTGCACTTGAAGTATTAGTGGTGTATATGTAAAAGTAGACTTCTCCCCACTCGAGTTTTGTATGTCCAAAGTCTATGCTTTTATTCATTTATGATTTTTTAAAGTATTTAGGTTTGATTTTTACTTCTTTTGAAATTTTAATATTTCCAAGCATATTAAGAAAGAAAGATTTAAAAGGATTCCCCTCAATATCTATTTTAAAAAGGTGTCCTGACAATGTACGGTAATTTATGAATAAAGAAAATGTGTCCCATTATCAGGTAATCCTAGGGTGGTCATTGTTTTTATTTTTTAAAATGGAAAACTTCTGATCAAATAATGCCTGAGGTTAGTGTGACCCTGGGAACTATGGTACGACAGTTGTGGCTATCTCTAAGGGATACCAACACAAAGGCTTCTTCTGTGTAATGAAATGAGGCTGCACCTAAGGGGAAGTTGGGTTTGAATACAACATGTTTTTAAAAAGCACTTCATGCCCCGGGAGAGCAGTGCAGAAAGGTTATAAACAGGTCCAGCTGTACCACCAGAAGAGTGCGCTGCCCAGACAGTAAGGTGTGTCGCTAAACCTTTGCCCTCCTTGATGCCTTCTTAGGGTAGTGATGGGCTCACACTGCGCTCCCAGTTTCTGTGGTAGTTTCCCCTAAATCACTGTACTGTATGGAAAAAAAATTGAATTGGGTCTTAGTCTCTTCTACAAGTTGAAGTTGATTGTGTCAACTGAAAAAAAGACTTATGAGGTTTGTGATCAATAGAATGCAAAACATTAAAGAAACGTGATTGTTTTTGTTTTCCTCTTCAGTCCATTGTATTGATTATGCTAGCAACGTTCACAGGCTCAAAATGGCCTTCTCCTTTAATGGTTGAAGTAACCAGCTCCATTCTTTTATCAGCATTAAGCCAATGTGTTTCAGATACCTTACAGTTGTAACCAAAACCTTGAGTTTTTCCTCATAGTCCCTTTAGTGTGCAGGAGCCTTGCAAAGCCTGCCTTCTGCTGACCCTCACCTTTGGCTGTGGAGAGCAGGAAGTAGTAAAGAAGCAGAAGACACCAGTCGGCACGGGATCCAGTTAAATCTGGCCTCCCAGTGCTTTGTAACACGTGGTCCAACCCAAATTTGTTAATGCAGGGGTTGAGATGGTGTGCGCTCTAATTAGGTTAGTGAATGTGAGTCCTCCATGTAGTTTCTGTTGTCATTCCTGGGAGGCTGTGTTGTCTTTTCTTACATTTTAACATTCTAGAATTATTTTTAAGTGTCCCTGAGGATACCTGGGAATTTTCGAAATTAAAGAGTTGGGGGTTTTTTTGTTCGCTTTAAACAATTTCTGTATTATCTGCAAAGCTTGTGTCTAGTATACTACCACATTGCTAGGAAAATTACCTCCTTAATCGGTGTCTTCTTGTGAATTTTTTGGTTAGAGTCCCAGCATCTTGATTCCTGTCGTCCGTGTGTAAATAGTGTGGCAAGACTTGATAGACTCCACTGAATTCTAATGTGTGCTTGCTACACTGCGTGTGTTAAAGACAAGTGTATTATTAAGGCCTTTACTTTTTATATTTTAAATTTTCATTTTTTTATATGTATGTGTTTTGCCCTGCCCACAGAGACCAGAAAAGAGTGGGTATCAGATCCCCGGGGACTAGAGTTACAGAGGGTTGTGAGCGACCCCGTGTGTTCTGGGAATCATTTCTAGTGACTCCTGAGTTCTCAGCCTTTTCTCCAGGCCTTTATTTTCTGAGACACGGTTGTTTCAAGAGAATGTGTGGTGTTGACCAGCCTGGAACACAGACATCTATGTGCCTTTGTCTTTCCCCAGGTCTGGGATCAAGTTTATCAAAGCGTCTGAATTGGCCCAGAAGTGGCAACATTAACCATCTTGATTTTAGCAGGATCAGTTGCAGACTGCCCCACCTCCATCCCCTAGTAGTTTGGACTTCTGTTTTCATCAATGTTGGAAAAGTTGAAAGTATTTTTAATTTCTAAGTATAAATCGTGTAATTCTAAGTATAATTTCTAAGTATAAAATTGGATTTTGTGTTATGCTTCATCTGCAGTACTCCTACAGTCGTCATCTGGGCTTGTTATGTGGTTGAAGTTCCAATGGGCATATCTTTAAATTTTCTCTCACATATTAAAAACAACAACAACAAACAGTTCGTAGGATGCACCTCAGGCCTTGGTCACAGTAGACTGAGATTAAACATGTTCACAAACTAAAGTCACGGGAAATGTGACTGCTACACTAGGAGCAAGCTAAAGGTCTTTCAGCACTCAGGGCGCTTCCCTGGCCTCTGTCAGTGGGTCCACCCCTACAGAACCCTGACCTCTGTCAGTGGGTCCCACCCCTGCAGAACCCTGACCTCTGTCAGTGGGTCCCACCCCTGCAGAACCCTGACCTCTGTCAGTGGGTCCCACCCCTGCAGACAGAGCAATGGCCTGCAGTGCTACTAGTGAGCAAGGGACCCAAAGTGACTTGTGCTTTTCATGAGTGTCAGTCCTTTATCTCTGACACTTGATCCTCCAGACCCGTAGTTTGTAATGCTGAGAAGTTTCTGAAGAATAGCCACCAACTTTTCATCTTGATGATACCAGTTTTCAAAGGAGGCACAGCCCTGTAATAATGAGCTAACTTAGAAAAGCCAGGTTGGTCACTGGATGACCACTGCACTGCTGAATGAGCTCAGTTGTTTCAGGCCACCTCTTGTCCTGCAGCAGAAGATACCACCGCACCATTGCCGCCTTTCCGCAGAACAGGAAGTGGAACCTAATCACAGGACGGGCACTTTATATAGAGATATCTCATTATCTAGAGGGATGGCAGTTTTCGGGATGTTTCTGGAAGGGTGGGAGGAAGTGCACACAGTTTACGGCTAACTGTAGGGTGCTCACTGGATTCAGTGTTCACACAGCCACCAGTAATACTAGGAACATAGCATTTTAGGTTGGGTATCTTGTCAGATTTGATTTAAATACTTGAATTAAGAGATGCTGGCCAGATGAACATTTTCAAATGCTTCCACAGTAATGAGATGTACCACGTACATGTAGTGTCTGTGGAGGCCAGAAAATGGTTGGTGATGTGGGCAAACATTCAGGCCAAGCCGGCTTGATAACAATACGTGACCAAAAGGCTATCGTTTTCTGGGTCTTGCCAAGTTCTCTAGATGCCTGCCTGCCTGCCTGCCTGCCTGCCTGCCTGCCTGTTCTACAGTCTGTGTCACTCTGTCGTCATATTCCCATCAGGCTGTGTTGTCCCTTTAGATTTATTTGACTTGTCATGACTGCAAGAGTAGTTATGAGACCCAATCCCTAGCCGATAACAGACACCCCAAAGTGCCACATAACTTGAACTTTTACTTTTACAAAAAGACTTGACTTACCTGCTTGGCAGACAGCTCTGTGAAAGGATCTGCCTCTTCAGTGGACTTTCTGCCTCGCTCAGGTGCTGATAAACCTTTTCACAATATTTAGCTCATCAAAATTGCACTTTCCCAAAAGAATCTTTCCCTAACTCCACAGATCTTGTCAGCTGTTAAGAGAGCCATACACACATGGTTGGAAGGATTCCTTTGTATCTGTCATAAACTGATTCAGAAGTATGAGCTTCAGTCTGCCCAACTTTTTCTATTATCGGAAAGAAATTAGGATTAAGGCCATGCTAAACTTCATAGTCAAGTGCAGTTGTCTTTGTTACCAGTTTAGCAACTTAAATACTCGAATAAAGGAAACCCTAGTCTTGGAAGTATACCTTGAGCCCTTGAAGTCAGATATCAGGACATTGGTTCTCTCCTAGGGTGGGGAGTTATGTCCGAGGTATTATTTCAAAAATGGTTTGAAGGAGGGTTAGAAACGAAGCCCGGAAATTGAAACTCATGCTTTACTCTTTAAATCTAGACGTTTGGGAATGGTGCTAGGTGAGCAGCTTTGTGCAGAATTGAAAGCATGGCCGAGAAGCCCCTACTTCTCTACGGCTTGCAATCATGTTTCAGATTTCTGTGATCTTCATGATGTGATTGAGAAACTGAATATCTCACTGGCGAAATAACAGCTTAAGAAAATACAAAGAGAAAGCCGTGCGCCGTTACCCGTTTACTTTTTTTTTTTTTGTTTTTCGAGACAGGGTTTCTCTGGTTTTGGAGCCTGCCCTGGAACTAGCTCTTGTAGACCAGGCTGGTCTCGAACTCACAGAGATCCGCCTGCCTCTGCCTCCCAAGTGCTGGGATTAAAGGCGTGCGCCACCACCACCCAGCTACCCGTTTACTTTTTATTCAGTTCACTTCTGTGCTAATCCTGGAGTCTTCGAATCTTCAGACACCAGAGAGGGAATCATTTGTGAGCTATAGCTATACACAGTTATATGTTAAAATTGACACTATTTTTTTTTTTGCAGTAACTTTGAGTATTGTTTTTCTACATTGTGAGAGGTTTTAAGCAACTTCCTGAGAATTTTGATTGTTTTAGAAAGGTCCCTCTGGTTTCCAAGTATTTACCCAAAGGCTGGGTAGGCCATGCAGACAATTACCCCTCCCCCATTTTCCTCGCATGTAAATTTACAATGTGTTTATTTCTCACTGAGGGAAAGTCCTTTCTCCTCGAGGTTGTCTATGTGGGAGCACTGTTCGGCGGAGCTTCTGGTCTTCCAGCACACAAACCAGAATCACACATTTTGCTTGTCAATGAAAGGTCATTAAAATAGAAAACATTGTATATTCTTTAAAACGGCCACCACCCCTGAAGCGGTCTGCCCTCCGTCCGCGCAGTTTCCCCCAGCGAGTGGGTCCTCCCAGGTGGGCCGTGGGTTTGGAGCTGAGGGAAGCCGAGGGGCGGCGCCGGGACGGTCGGGCCCGCCGGACAGGAGGCCTTCAGAGTCGGCTTCCGCTCCCACTAGCTCGGGAGCCGGAGCCCCGCCGCGCAGCGCACCGGAAGCTCCAGGGCCGGGGGCGTGGCCCTGCCCGGAAGCGAGACGGGAGCGTGACTGTAGGGGGCGTGGCCAGTCTCGGGCGCGCAGGCGCCGTCGGGCGGCGCGGTGCTGAGTGGGCATGGCGGCCACGTTCTTCGGTGAGGTGGTGAAGGCGCCGTGCCGAGCTGGGACTGAGGAGGAGGAGGAGGAAGAGGAGCAGAGCAGGCGGGACACGCCGGAGGACCAGGAGGTCCGGCGGCAGCTGGCGCGGAAGAGGTCAGGCTCCGGGGAGGCCCACTCCGCCGGGCGAGCGTTACGCGGGACACCGACTCCATCCATCCCACGCTTGAGGTCACACCGTGTGTCAGCGGGAAGCTCTGTATTTAAACACACAGACGCCAGGTCTCCTACGCAGCTCCAGTCACGGCTCTCCCGCTGCCTCCCCGAAGCATGCTGTTTTTATTCCTACACATCTGTTTTGTGTGTGTGTTTGGGGCCAGAGGTTGAAGTTGGGTGTCCTGTGGCTCTTTCCACCTTCTTCCTGGGACGTGTCTCATTGAACGCAGAGCTCACTGTTGTTCTGCACTGGCTGGACCCCAAGCCCTAGGGAGTCTCTCGTTTCCCCAGAACCATTGTGCTTTTAGGTGGGTCCAGGGATCAGAACTTGGGTCGTCATGCTTGTGTTGGCAACTTAGGACCTTCCCAACCCTAAGTATGCGAATCACAGATTTTTCAACATCATACCAGGCCACAGTCAAACTCACCTAGTTTTTCCAGAAATTCTATTTTCCAGCGGCTTGCACCACCTACAAACCCTTTCAACAGTTCATTTTGTTTTCTTCAGCGCCCTCTTCATTTTTCACTCCTGTGAGTCCTGATTTGTCCGATGGTGTTCCCATGCAGCCATTTACTGTGTTCATTCCTCATCTGCATTTGCGTTTTGCTGGCAGGAGTGTTTGACCTGCTTTTAGTCTTTTTGGGGTCTCTGTCTGGCTCTTAGGGGTGCTGGCATGGCTGTGTCACGGGGACAGTATGAAGTTTGCAGTAGTTTTGCCCGCTGATTGAGTCTGCTCTTCCTTTAAGACTGTAGTATATATTTTATAAAAGGACAGCGTGTACCTTTCTCACTTGTAAGGGTACTCTCATCTAAGACCGTATATCCATCCATCTATGCATCTCCCACACATCCATCCACCTGTATCTTATATCACCCATCCATACATGTTTATATGTGTATGCGGCACCTGCCTGTCACCTGTCTACATAAATAACATGTCTGCGGCCCTTCTGTTCCTCATCTGTCTCTCCTCCATCCATCCATCTCTATATAGTATATCATTTATTCTTCGTCAGTCTGTTTATCATCCTCCCCTTTGTCACTCGTCTCTCCCAGCGTGAAATACTTGTTGACTTTACTCTCGTCTCGTTAGGGAAGTGCGGCTTCTCCAAAGACAGACAAAAACATCTCTGGAGGTTGCACTGCTAGAAAAGCATCCCTGCTCCAAGTTCATAATCGCAGTAGGAAGTAATGCAACAGGTAAGTGCCAGCACCAAGACAGATGTGCTGTTGAAGAATGGAGTAGGAGGGCAGCATAAACTCCACGTGCTGATACCTTAGAGAGGTCACGACATGCTGGGCGGTGGTGGTGGTGCACACCTTTAATCCCAGCACCTGGGCGGCCGAGGCAGGTGGATCGCTTTTTATTTATTTAAAAGACTTATTTACTATGTATACTGTGTTCTGCCAGGAGAGGGCACCAGATCTCATCATAGAGAGTTGTGAGCCACCATTTCTAGGAATTGAATGCAGGACCTCTGGAAAAACAGCCAGTGCTCTTAACCTCTGAGCCATCTCTCCAGCCTGGCAGATCGCTTTGAGCTCTAGTCTAGCCTGGTCTACAAAGTGAGTTCCAGGACAGCTAGGACTGTTAAACAGAGAAACCCTGTCTCGAAAAGTCAAAAAATTTAAAAAAATGAAAAATAAAAAATCACAGCAGGAGCTGGGTATGCAGCTCAGGTGGTAAAGTGAGTTTGGTGCCCAGCAGCATATAAGCTTGGCATGATGCAGTCTGAGCACTCAGGAGGCAGAGGCAGTAGAGGGGAATGTGAAAAAGTTTCAAGGCCA